ACTTTGTTGGTGTTTGTAGTTCTAAAAATCAACCCAGCTTTAGCAATGAATCTTTTTGAAAGTGGAATTTATCTTGGGAGATTAATTTTTGAAGAGCACCCCCCCCCCCCTTAAGTGCAATTTCATTGATGTTGGAAAGTAAATTGGTGGATCATGCACATAGAAACATTATTACAGAGGAATTATTAAATGGAATAAAAATAATCAAAACACTGCTTATATGGATTGATAGAGCTTTTTAAATTTAATGCTGATTTTAAAATGTTTTGATCATTATTTGGCAAATGAGTGTTTGCAGATTACCCTAAAACAGGACCCCCTTCCCACCCCCAGCCATGCGGTTCATCGTGGAGGGTTGTAAACTATTTTTTATATGGAATCTGGTCTCCCCAAATCAACTGATAAAATAAATAGACCCATTCTTCTGTAGACATATTACTTACTCTTTCTAAGATATTTGCTTTCTGATTTTGAATACCTTGATTAAATGCTAGGGAAAGCAAACAAAATTGCTAAAATTGACATCAATTTATATTTCAAAGCATGCCAAGAAGAAGGAAGAGAATAAGGTAATTTATTGAATTGTAGCCAGGATGTAAAGAATAAGTAACTAAAATTTGTATAATTTTTCCATCATATTAGAACTTAACAGGGGTTGCACACCGATTTTGTTGGTGTTTTATTGTACAAATGTATTTACTCTTTAATATGCCGATTTATATTTCCTATGTTCAATGGATATTTAAATATAACAAAAGAAACTTAAGTGCTTTCTTGTGAAAGTCAAGTGGTCATTTCTTTTTCACTGAGTTATATAGGTTTTGTTTTGTTTTTTATAATAGTTGACATGATGTTACAATACATCTCAATTAACGTATAATTGGAATAACTGGTGTTGGAGTAAAAATACTAAAAGAAAGCTAAAAAATCATGAACTTATAACATTAATGAAAATTAAAAGACATAACATGGATAAAGCATGATTTATAAATTGTCAAAACAGTTACCAGGGAACCCAATCCCTCTTCTACATGTGAAGAACTACAGTGTGAGGTTGAAACATTTTATTTCACTTCATTTTGTTTTCGTTTTTTCTGAATGTGCAAAGTGAATCCTTAGGAAGGTGTTTTAGCAGTTAAACGTGCACTTTTTCTAAACTATATTTTGTATAGTAAATAACAATAAACTCCAGACATTTTCACAGATGAAAAAAAAAATACTAAAGCAGCAAGGGAACCAGCCTTTATCAAGGGGCTGTGAATGCAGTTTTGGAAAATGAGAACTAATTTTTAAAACATATTACATAAAAATAAATAACTTAAACAAGAAATAGTATGAAATGGTGCAATATGCTTACAAAAAAATTCACCCAATTCGGGTTTTTGCATGTTGATGGAATTGCCTTTCAAAATGTTAACTAAGCAAGCATAACTATTTCTGATGTGCTTTGATTCCCTCATTGTACCAAAATTCAAAAAAAATTTGCTTCATTTACATTGTTTGATATATATGTATTTAAATGTATATATATATATATATATATTTAAATGCACCCAAATGCAACAGAAACAGTAGCTTATGGAGTAAGGCAGTGGTTCTCAACCTTCTGGCCCTTCAAATACAGTTCCTCATGTTGTGACCCAACCATAAAATTATTTTCATTGCTACTTCATAATTGTAATGTTGCTACTGTTATGAATCATAATGTAAATATCTGATATGCAGGATGGTCTTAGGCGACCCCTGTGAAAGGGTCGTTCGACCACCAAAGGGGTCGCGACCCACAGGTTGAGAACCCCTGGACTAAGGGCTCCAAGTAACATAACATTAGAAAATAAATCTTCATGGACAGTTTTTTCCTTTATAATTTATTTCCGGAACAAAGAATCCCTTAGACTAAGTGAACTCTGTATCAAAAGATCATTAAGAAGAAACAGCCTCTTTATACAATATTTTCTGAAAGTGTGTTTGGTACAGGCATATCTTTTCCTTTCAGCATTCTGTTAAGTAGGAAAGGACCCAAGCCACAGTAATTGCTGCAGAGGGCTTCACATTTTACACCCCGAAACTACTGAGCTTATGTGTGTGTGCACATCCTGAATTGAGGATAAGGCTTGATTCTTGAAACATGAAAATTAAAAAGCATGTTTACTCTAGAACTCCACATTCTGATTAATGCAAAACAAGAACTTTTTTCCTTTTGCAATTAGTGCTTTGCAGATCTTTTGTAAAAACCAGAACAGCCAGACTAGGTGAAACTCATTAACTGGAGAGGAGGATAAGTGTCTTCAGGACCAAGAGGGAGGGTCTGAGTGGAACAAAGCCGCCTCGAAGTTTAGCAGAGGCCACAGCCGAACTCGATTTCAGAAATGCTAGCTGCACATGGGACATTTTCCTAACTGTTTTGGGGGTTTTACAACAATCTAACTTATCTTTTCTAATTGAGACACAGGAATCAAAACCCAGAATCAAATTGCACGGAGGAAGAACCGCAGGGATTGCAGGTACTTCTCTGTAATCTGTGTTGGGATGTAAATGGAAGTGTTGTGTGTGTGAGAGTGTGTGCAGTGTTGAAGTGAACAGGAAGGGTGTTTTGTATATGGAAGGGTGGGGGTGTAACCCAGTTGTCTTCTATTTAAGGCTTTGCTTAGAACAAGTAATCAATCAGACTTTTATCAACTGATGTTGTGTTCAAACTCATTCTGCTGGCGACTGTTTACTTTCAGTTTAAAGCAAATCAGAGACTCAATCCTGCTCACTAAAGGCAGGCAGCTTCCAAACACTTGCTTTGTTAGCTTCGTTGAATCCTGATGATTTAGAAAGACTTTTAGAATAAATTTGTGGACCACAATCACTTAAGAAACCAAAGATTGCATTTTTAGGTACAAATTTGTGCGTAAATTTATGGTGGCAACATAAACTTCAGATACAGTTCAAAGTGAGAATGATATTGCCCGACTGTGTAACACAATACTACCATGTGTGGATAAAAACCTGCATCTAAATTATTTCACTTCGGTTTTTAAAAATACTGCCACTTGCTATGCCCAAACCCAATGAGACAGAAATCTAGGATAGATTTTATTAAGAAAATAAATAGCTTTTTACTGCTAGTGAGAACTGATGAGAAGACTCAAAAGACTATATTCTCGGGCCAGGAACCGGCTCTCCAGTACGTAGAGAGAACTGTGATTTCAAGATCACTTTGATTTCATTGTTTTTAAGTTAGGAGGTAATGGAAGCTTATGGGAGAGGTTTTTGGGTTCGTTTGTTTTTTATTTGGAAGGTTTACCTGCCATTGAGTGAAAGGCGATTTTGTTTTACATTCCATGTAACCTAGTTTCAGCAATTGTTTGGGTGACTTCTCTAATACGACTTTAACCACTAATTTGCTTACCTCTAAGTTGTGCAAACTATTTTGCAGTAGTAAATAGGTATATTCCCATTTCACACAAAAATCAAAGCGTGTTCTCTCTTGGCCTTATTTAATATGCTATCGGGAAACAAGCAGCGCAAGCAAAGCATTCAATTCAACCCTGAGTGGAGGGGAAATTCACCAAGAATGGGCTGCTTGTTATTCTGTTAGTTTATTGACTTCTTTCCTGGTTAGAATTAGTAGAGCAGTCAATCGCCAGGAGCAGTCTGGCGGGACCTCCGCCCCACGACCCTCCCTGGAGTGGGCAGGAAAGAAGCGTCTGACGAGCGCGATGGAGCCAGGCAGCCGCTCTGGCGGCTGGGAATAAGGAATCCTAGTGAATTCTCCGGAGAATGCACACAATTCGATTTTTAAGCATAGCTAAATTCGGTTATGTTCAGACTAAGAACTTAACACAGCAGCCTCGGAAGGGAGGACAATCTCCGCTCTTCCCTTTCAGGTTCGGTGCATTCGTGCCGGGAGCTGAGATGAAACCGGTTAGATTGAGAAACTGCGGCGCCGAGTCCCGGAAGCCGAGAGGTGATGCTGCAATGTCCTGCTTGGGCCTGGTGGCGGCCGGGACACACGACCACCCCAAGGGTCGGAGATCTGAGCTTTCCGGCGCCACCCTGCTCCCCGCCGGGCTCCCGGGGCTGCGGCGGGACGTCCGACCGGCGGGTCCGCGGAGGGAGGAATCGAGCCAGGGCGTGGGGCACGCGCCCCTCGTGCGCCGAGTCCGTGGGCTTCCCAGCCCGGCCGGGAGGGTGACCGGGCCCGCAAACCAGGACCTTATTTCTGAAGAGCCGCACCTCTGTTCCCACCGCACCAGGCTCACAGCTCCGGGGCGCCACCACCATCCCGCTGCGAAGTCGCCGTGCCCTGGTGGCGGTGCCCCCGACCCCCAACGCATCCAACCGACAACGCGCACTTGGGACCTCCAGCCACACCCCCAGCGTGCTGCCACCCAACCCCCACCTTGTCCCGCGTCATCGAACTAAAGTTAACCTACCGGTCATTATACCTCATTTGCCTTTGTAACGCTAAATGGCAATTTAATAGTCATTTGTAGATGGCTTTGTACTTTAATGTGCATTACCTCATTTGATCTTGACGTAAAGGGAGGACCACTGCTCAGTAAGGGCCCTTAGCGCCACAATAAAGTCAGGCCCTTTCCAGGTTCTAAGGTCTTTAAGAATCTTTAAAGACTCTCAAAAACTGTGCCCTACTTAAAGGTAATATAATGGAGTACAGTTAATTATTTAAAACTGGTCTGTTAACTTTATTTACATCTGAATATGGAGGGGAATGTTTATGGCTTTAAACATTGCATTTAAAGTTCTCAAAAGCTTTCACTTGTTGAAGTAACAGGACATTTTCTGAAACACTCAAAGATGGGGACAAGTTGGGGAGAGATGGAGGTAGAATAAGGAGAAGGAAGCCAGGGTGAAGGAATGGGGGAGGCTGAAAGTGAGGGTTCAGCCATTGGCAGATGTCCTTCAGGGCACTCCACCTGTTAGGGGGAATCCAGCCTCAACTTTTCCATCAGGCTTTTTGCTTAGGCGTCTTCAAAAGGACACTATACATATTAATTTTAAAATTTAATTTGTTTTGAATAGTTACATATAATTGTGGAAAAGCCAAGTCCAAACAGAATTATTTTACAGACACACACAATAGCTTGAAACAACGCTAAACCAAAACTGAAGGTTGGAGAAAATACAGGTTCTGTAGAAGTGTGTGAGCTTTGGGTACCTATGAAGATATACACAATAAGACATTTATATAAGCTCCTTTGGAATATGCAATGCTTAAGTGGCTATATGTTTTTAATATCTGGAAGAGAAATTTAATGGAAGGCATTGCTATCATTTTAATGTATTGTGAAGGGAATACATAATGGTTGTTAATTCCCAGTTGAGAAACTTTGTCTCAACAGTAAAGGATCCTGCTCTATTCACCCATCACCAGCAATGAACCCAATAGCTTCAAAATACCTTCTTTAAGATTAAGGTGAGATTCTTAACACATAGAATAAGATGAACAACTGTGCTTTAGTTGAATATTAAAGCAAAAATATCCTAAGTCAGCAGGTCAAAGAGAAATCTTATTTCACAACCTTAGGCTAGAATGGAAAGAAGGAAACAAAGCAGCAAGAATCTTTATAATGTACCTGAATTTGTTGTGGCGATCAAATTAAAACGCATATGGAAGTGTTGTATGTAAACTCCGAGCATTAATTTAAGGAATTATAGTGTGCTTGGTAGCAAGGAAAAAAAATGAGTACAAATTGGAATCTATTATGAAGTAACGCTAAAGAAATATGCTAAGGAGTATACACTACTTACCTATAAATTAAACTTCTCACTTTCCAACTTTTCTTAAAATTTTTAAAGTCCTTAAAATTGATACAGGAGTCTACATGAAATTTGTAAAATGTAAATAACTTATTCTCACAAAGATTTTATAGTTAGCAAAATCAGAAGCTGACAGACGTAGTAACATATGCGTTGGCTGGGTGGTCTTGCTGAGCATATCATGTTAACATCTATTCTTAACTGATTTTCTTTTGACATCTAATTGGTAGAAATGAACTGTTTTCTGAAAAACTAATTTTAGAAAAACCAACATGCTTGGCCAAGATTTTCAAAGTTGAAATACTCTAAAAGAATAAGAACACAAGAAACCAGAATTTTAAAATTTTGTTTGTTTTTACTAAAGTCCAGAAATTTCCGTAAGACAAGTACATTAATGAAATGTTTCCAAAGAAATACTGAACAATATATACTCTAGTTGGCTGAGGGTTCCAGCTTAAGAGTTCACACCTAATTCTTGTGCATTAAAAATCAGCATGGATCTTAGATGATCTAGAATTCACTGTGGTTTGAAATCCACAGCTGGTTTGATTTTTAACCATAATGAAAAACCAGTATTCCTATTCCATCAAAATGTTTTACAAGCAATAATAAATTCAGATCCACTGTATTATGCAACACACATCTTTGGAAAGCAACATAAAACAGTGAGATCAGATCAGTAGAAATATACAGTTAAAAGAAATACACAAAGTACTGCAGTTTTCTTAAAAACTACTACTTGAGAAAGAAATCTTTCCACAAATAGCATAAAACTGTAGAATGATGAAAGGATTTGGGAAAGCTTTACAAAAGCCTAATTCCAATTGTATCTTCCTGAGGGTGGTGGCAAAGGGTACTTCCTTCCTTCTCTGGGATATCCCTGAAAATAAGCAAAAGAAAGAGTTTATTTTCTGGATTAACACCCCTGCAAAAAAATTAATTTTTCAGCTATATGGAAAAATATACCATAAAGAAGGTAAATATGTCTTAAAGGTCTATCACATAGAAGGTCTTCATTTATACCAAGCTTGTTGCAAAGTGGGACATTAGTAATAGCACAAATGCTATTACTGACAACTAACCAAACAAGCCTTATCGAGCAATTTAAAAATTCCTTACAATCTACACAAATGAACTATACAGAGTTAAGTGTTTGTGTAAAACCCTTTAAGTTCTCAATCTTCCCTACCACCCGCAGCAGGCCATATTGTGGTCAGGTAGTAGATGTAAGCTTCATCTTTAGATAGATTTACACTAGGAAAGTCAATTTGCTTAACCAAGGTAAGAAGTCGGTTAAGGCCTAAATACCTATGAATTTTAGGGTGGTTTTGATTTTTTTTAAAGCTATAAATAGTAGAGTACTAAGTAACATATTAGGTTATTACATAATTACTAGGAACATTCCTAATATCTCCTAGGTATGCTTGCAAATAATATTTCTGTAGACCCTTGAAAGACACATTGTAGGCTAAGGCCTTGTAGTCATCTAAATTTCACTATAATTTAATAGTGCTTCAAAAATTGTTTTTTTAATAAAAATCAGTGAGAAAGATACTGAGAAGAAGGAGATACTAAAAGATTTATAAATTCACCAAGTGGTTTTGATCTCCTGTCAGGGGTAGGGAACGTCTGGCCCGAGGACCACATAGGGCTCGCAAAATCATTTGGTCTGGCCCTGCAAGGCATTAGGGGTGAGTTAATTAAATGTTTGACCAAATATAGCAGGCTAGTTTTTAAGTTGATAATTCTGTATGGCCTGAGAATGATGTTATAAATATCCAAATGGCCCTTGGCAGAAGAAAGGTTCCCCACCCCTGTCCTAAGTGAATAAGAATTCCACCTCCTGCAATAGCAGAGAGCTCCTTAAAAGGGAGATCTCCTCCTCCGAAGGAGGCAGGAAAGAAATGAACTGGGTTCAGAAGTTCCCAGCTTTGCTGCCAAACTGCAAGTGTTTAGGGTTTCAGTTTCTGACTGGGAAAATGAGGTGAGTGGACTAGACATTCTCTAAGATGTCTTCTAGTTGTAAGTATGTCCTTGTTTCAATAATACTCATTATTTAGATTATCTAGTCTCAATCTATGATATGGTATTTAGAGGTTTTCAAAGTAAAATTCTACAAACTGAGTCTAATAAGCTAACAAAATTCTCTCAAAAGACAATTAAGATGATTGTTTTCTTGTAAAGTGAACAGAGACACTAAGAAACAGTGTAAAAAAGACTTTTCTTAGCTATCAGAATAAGGGACACATAGTAAGACCTTGAGTTATAAAATTAATATTCGAAGCATTGCAAAAGGCCTGAAGGCAACACCAGGTAAGCAATTTGAAATCACTTTGCATCACCAAAGGTGCCAAACTCCACAAACAGCACACACTCTGAGCCACAACACTCTGATCCTGTTATCTGGCAAGAATTTGATGACAAAAAAAAGAAAAGAATTTGATGACAGAGCATGTAAATACTGGACAGGGTATCAAATGGCTGGGGGACAAATAAAATGAAGCTTACATTTACTAAAGGTATCTAGGAATTATTATACTCATTCAATGTATAGCTGTTTACATTTGGTAGAAAAATATGTGGAACATTTTTTTTATGAAGGAGAGATTTTTTCCATGAGGAGAGATAACAGATACATCAAGACATAAGACTTCTAAGATAAATATACAGTTGAAAAGATAGATTCCTGCTTTCATTTTTCTAGGAAATTATCATCTATTATGAGAGACTTAATTTGTAGTAAAACAAAAAGCAATATCCTTAAAGGATAAACAAGGTTTCTGGTAACTGACCACATTTGTGTTAAAGGTCACTGATTGCTATGATTAAAAGAGCTTTTGCTCTGGAAAACTGTTCAGCATCTTCAAGGTATAATTTACTTAGTGAGGCAGATACTTGCCTTATATACATTTTTAATGAGGGACCCAAGTTCAGGTAAGCCAGCGGTTCTCAACCTGTGGATTGTGACCCCTTTGGGGGTCGAACAACCCTTTCACAGGGGTCACCTAAGACCATCGGAAAACACATATTTAATATATAATTACATATTGTTTTTGTGATTAATCACTATGCTTTAATTATGTTCAATTTGTAACAATGAAAATACATCCTGCATATCAGATGTTTACATTACGATTCATAACAGTAGCAAAATTACAGTGATGAAGTAGCAACGAAAATAATTTTCTGGTTGGAGGTCACCACAACATGAGGAACTGTATTAAAGGGACACGGCATTAGGAAGGTTGAGAACCACTGAGCTAAGCTAATCTATCACTATCTTATCCAGAAATGTTTTCAAGAAAATATGGAGTCCTGAGAGGCATGGCTAAGTACACAGTATGTTTTTCGTCCCACAGCCCACGCCATATCACCTGTCTCCCTCCACGATCATCGCGTCTGGGTGGATACCCGCCAGGCCCGGCTAGCATCTGGTACTGGTTTGGCTGAAAGCCTGCATTTTGGGTCTGGAGCATCCGGTTCCATGGCAGTAGAGGTTCAGCCCCAACACCTCTGTGGAAAAGCATCATGTGTGCATTACAAGTCAAGCATGTATCATTTTTGCAACCCACTTTTGCTGCATTTGTCATATGGGATATATGGTATCAAAGTGGCCTTTGTATCCCCCATATCCAGTATAGTCTAATGTTTCATAAAGTATCAGCATTTATTAAAGAGTGTTTAAAACTTAAGTGATTCAGAAAGGCCTGACTTAAAAAATTCTGTTCATTTACAATTGTGAAATTTCCTTTTTAGTCATGTAAAGATTTGGACCAAGATCTCCAAGTTGGCTACATTTAAGATGCTATCCAAAGAGTAAACATGTACAAGACAGGAGAATGAGGCTTTATTTTTAAAAATGTCCAGACTCATTCTTGGAGTCCATTCTTTCTAGTTAATTGCAGGTTGCAAATGAATTCTTACTGCTGAGTATTTTGAATCCAGGGTAGGGGACTTGGCTGTTTTTTCCCATCCATTATTCTGCTCAATATGTCAGAAGGTCTGATCGGGAGGAAACCTTTTCAAGTTCTATTGATGCAGCTCTCAATTGACCATGGTGACCTAGCAACATGAGCACTAATTGGCATGGGCTGACTGGCATTTGGTGTACAGTTTACATGGGAACACAAATTCAACAGCTTTTATAACCCAGTTTGCCGGCCCAGATTACTAGTCAAAAGAAATGTTTTAATTGTCTTCAAGTGCCTATTTTAACTTTGCAAATACAAAGCAACAGGTATGATGTATGAAATCATAATTTAAATTAATACACAATGTAGCAAAGACATCTTTCCAAAGGCAATCACCATTTGAAACAAAACTTTCGCCTTGAGACATTTTCCTCAACTCCAATTTTATAGAACAAAAGCAAAATAAAAAATAAAGAAAAGCAAAATAAAAAATAAACAAAAGCAAAATTCTCCAGTATATTTTAACATTAGAAGCTTTGGGACCATTAAAGATGTTAGGAGGAATTACAATAAACTTTAAACTTGCTAAAGCACTGACAACCTGGAATAAGCTTATAACTGTATCAGCATATGAATTTTACCTCCTGGGTCTTAGGGGAAAAAGCCCAAAGTTGGGCTCATTGGATAATGCATTCTTCTCACAGCTATTCAAGCCTAAATCAATCCTCTCTACCCCCCAATCTCCTCCCTTCACTTGGACTTGCCTTATTTTTTTTAAAACACCAAAGATGATTATTTTTGTGTGATAGCTTAAAGAACAGCTCTCTGAAGAACTCTAAAAAGGTCAATGCTATTCTTGACAGTTAGTGTTGAAACCAGGGCTCTTGCTGTAAGTGAATCCAAATAAAATAAATCTACTTTTCAGAAAGAATATGCATATATTCAGGGCCTTTAATTATTTTTTGGGTTCATTATGAACACAAATGTATTTTAGCAAGGATGCTTCATCTATTTAGTAGTAATAGCTCCGTGTGCAGAGACAGGAATGGTCTCTTCTGGTCTCTGAGGAGTGAGGGGGTAAGGTTTCTGCTGTGACCAAAGAGGCTCATCAAAACTGGGCCATTAATGCAAAACACACACACCAAAAATGCAACTCACACATTGTAGTAACTGTAATCAATTGTTCTTAGTTTTACAATGATAAAAATCACTCAACTGAGTTACAGGTAAATCTGTTAGTAAGAATCACATAACATTATATAAATGTAATTTTATATTATTTTGTTTTAAAAATAGCTTAAGAACAAAGCACAGTTTAAAAACAAAGTTCTCCTTTTTGTTTGGAATTACTAATTAAAATGTTGACAAAGATAAGTTTTATAAAATAATTTAATTAAAATTAAACAGAATGAACAAGGTAAGAGGGGCACAGAGGCATGCATGTTCTTTGTTTTTGCCCTTTACTGGCAGAAAGGTTTTTATTTTCCACAAGCTTTATCATATTTCTATACTAATTATATTAATTGATAAATACAAACTGAAATTTGCCTTGGAAAATACATACTAACATACTTTAACTTTTAAAAATTACTAGCTACTGACTGAGGCAGCAATTTCACATCAGAGATGGCAACAATATTCTTAAGTACCTAATTACTGCTTTGCAAAGTAGCTGGCAATGTGAAGTAATGACTCCAATTTGGATGTTTTTAATTTATACGAATGGCAATCAGAGTTTTTAAAGCTTTTCCATGACTAACTAAACTTAACACCCGTAAGTAAAAGACTAAATGGCCACTTTAAATATGGCTAGAAAAGACAAGCCTCCATTGGCAAGAACATAAATAATGGGGCGGAATTCAAGTGATGCAGAATGCTGGACATCTCTGCGTGTATCATTAGGTTGTTTTTGTGTGGGGAGGCAAGGAGTGTGTGTGTGTTCCTGTTGTATTTTTTCAGTGAAATGAATATATAAATTATAAATACTATCTCAAAGTAGGAAATAATTTAAAAGAGTGTAGTTTAGAAAAATATGTACACTGAAAATTTTCTTTTCCATAGGGTTCTCAAGCAAACATTCAAAATAGTGCAATGGAAAAGCACTGAACTAAGGATCAGTACCTTGTTCTAGTAAGAATTTCTACTGTTTACTACTTGTGACATCTTAGCAAAGTCAAAGTGACTATGAGTTTATACTTTCCCCTCTGTCTCCTAAGGTTGGAAGGATGAGAATGACAAGTGCTACCACAATGAGTGATAGACTGTATTTGCTAATAAGCTAATGAAGTTTTTAGGATGACTGAATGCAAACTCTCTTTATGAATAAATGATGTATTTCTTAAATGACCATGGTTTAAGACATAAAACAGAACTGTATTATGCTCATATCAAAGTTTTGTTTTAAGGCCTGGTTTTAAGTTTCTGACTAAAGCTAAACCAAAAATGCCCCACAAAACTTGTCCTTAATCTGCTGAGTTCACAAAGTTAGTAAGGATAATACCAATACTTGGCTAGGACAGAAAAAACAAAAAATATGATGGACACCAGGACAGTGGTAATAACCTGAGGAAAATGTTTAATGTGTAGAAGAAAGAAAAGCTACTGGGAAAGGAACTATGCCTCAGAAGTGGAAGGAGATCCTTTACATCCTTTGAAGTTCCTATGGCTTTACTGTAATATGCTCGGAGTAAGTATTCTGATGAGCTTTGTTCAAGTGAAAAATTTCTTAGTAAAGAACGGTACAGAAGGAAGACCTTAAGTAAGCTACTGAACTGTGTGAATTCATTCTTTTCCTCCTCTATAAAAATAACAGCATCTTTAAAGGGTTGCTAGGAGGAATAAATGAAGGCATGTTTTTAAGAGCATGTTAGCACAGCGCTGACATTTTTGTAAGCAGATGATAAATGTTAGCAATTATTAATAATATGAGAAAGAGGAAAGAAACAAAGTTAGGAAACCAAGTCTTAAAATCAAACTTGACAAAAGTAATTCAGAAAGACAGTTATTTAAAAAGAGATCAGCTCTTATGTGCTACTATGTAATTTAGAAAAAATTTACCCTTTACTCATTTAATTTGTTTGGAAATGGTACAACTCTGAGGATATTGAAATAGTACATCCAGTGTGCTTTGAGCAATTATATTGAAAACAAAACAAATACAGGTATTATCAGTTGTCTTAAATTTAAAACGCAGCTTGCAATAAGTAGTTGATACTATTAATAAACAATTGAATAACATGATTTATCTTTTTGAAGAAAATAATGAAGTTTTAGAGTCTTTTAGTCTTTAGTTTTCTTAAAAGGGGTGCAGCATTTACAACCCTGTTCATAACAAAACACTTTTCATTTTAGATGTGAACAGATCAGACTGCTAAAACGCTAATGGAAAGGGAAACAAAACAGATTAGAATTAGGAAGGCAAAGAAGGAAGCCTTACTATGACAGAGCTTAATTCGTTTTAGCACTAACTGAGGCAGCACACCAGCATGAAATGATAAATTTTAAAACTGTCCTTTTAAAAATTATACTATAGCTGTTAATATAATTATCCTACAGCTGTTAATATAATTATTCATAACATGCCTAGTTGTCTTGTCATGTAGAGACCACCTGACTTAGAAGCACACAACTTATCAATGAAAAAACACATGTCAAACATCCCTTGTTATTAAACCATGTCACATTCTTCCTAGTCCATGGTACTTATTAGACTGCAGATCCCATAATCCTCTTCTGAGTCCCTTCTGCGTTTAATTCAGTTCAGTCTTAAGTAGTTAAAGAAACTGTTTTCAGTGGCAACTAATAACTACTGACCTACAGTGACACTGCCCTACAATAGGCTTGTCAGCCCTGAAAAAGTTGTACCAAAGAAGCTGATTAGGACTTCAAGAGGTTTGCAGCAAGAATCAATGGTTGGTCTGTACTGTGCTGCATTACCAGCCCAGAAATGATAAAAGTGGAACACCATTAGTTATGCCTCATTAAGCTGCACAACCCTTCTAAAAAGAAATTTGTTTAGCCTTACCAAAACCTAATACAATTTTAAGCTCTATGTGTTGCATTTTCCAGGGCACCTCAAAAGCTTCAATAAAATAAAGGCCAAGGACCAAGAAAAGTAGGAAAGTATATAAACATGAGCCTTTTACTTCAATGTGTTAACCATCTATTTTCCTAAAGAACAGGCACAAGAGAAACTGTTTAGGGGAAGAAAGTATATTTCAAAACAGAAACCTCACATGTTGAAGCGAAAAAATATTTAAAAGTGATGTTACTTTATTATTACCTGTCAAATCTTTGCTGCTGGAAAAGGGGAGGAGGCCCTCGCCAGGAATCCTGGGGCCTCATATCTGAAAAATAAACAGGGAGGAGTTAAACAGTTTTTTGTGTTGTTGTTGTTTTTTAAATAAGTAATCACTATTTAGCTACCCACATATTTTATAATTAACTCTTGCGAAAATCTGAGACAATATAAACTAAGTAAACTAGCATATTTACACAGACTGGAAATGTAAAAAGATACTAAACAGGGTGAGTAAATTCATTTTGTTATTTTTCCTTCAGTAACAAAACGCAGTTTTACTAACTTTGGTCATTAAATTCACACATTTCTCTCTCTTGCTATGTATGTGTGTGTAAAGATATACATGTATTTTTTACATTTATATTTTAAATGCTATGCTAAAGGAATGGATTAGGTTTTCCCCCACAAATACAAATTTAATGTATAGTAACTTTAATAGAAATCCTGAAATTTGCCTCGTAAATGTGTAAACTGAAAAGGAACCCTGACTTACCTAGCTATCATAACATAGAGCGGAGAGCGCACAATTTCTCTAGCATGAGCCAGAAAGACGCGTTAATAAAGGAACCACCCACTTTTCCATTGTTTTCTGACAGTCAAACCTCTTCCCCTAACACCAAACTGAACTAGCAACATCTAGCTATAAGAAACAATTAAATGGCTACTCTCCTCAACATAAGTGGGATTAAAGGAACACTCCCTAACACTGGTCAGCAGGAGAGGTTAGTAGCTCAGGAGGTTGGTATCAACCAACCACCACTCTGGTCTCCAGTCTTGCAGTCACCTCGGCACCCTTCAGCAGGGTCTGTGTGTGACCTAATTAAAACAGCTGGTTCCAGGAGTTGTCTAATGAGTTCACTTGTAAGGACAGTAACCTCCTCCAGACTCTTGAGACCCAAGGGCAACAAGGCTTACCGTAATGTATTCAGGCTCACAGTTTAATGGAAACACAAACTAGAAACATGCTTTTCAAAATTACTTTCTTGAAGGAAAGAAGAAATGAAATCTTATCTTTCTTTAGATTTAGAACCCCCACCCCAAATGCAATCTGGGTTTACTTAAAACAAAAAAAGAAAGAAAAGTGAAATTGTGTTTTAAAAAGCCCCTGCAAAGGAGAATATGGAACAAAGTAAAGTACCTGGCTGCTCACAATAATTCCAGTGTGAGACAACTGGCTATTTCTGCCCCGGGCTTCCTCCTACCTCAGCTCCCTGACAATGCTAGCCTGAAACAAGTGTCCTAAATGGACAAGCTACACCTGGGGGAGCAGCCCCATAACCTGCTGGCCCTAGGTCCACGGAGCCAAACCCACCATATGTCTCCCTTGGAAAGGAACGGAAAAGCCTTCATCATCATTATTTCCAAGAAGAATCCTATTCTAAACTGAAAGAGAGGTGGCATCTCCAGTTAATCTGAATTAAGTCCCCTTTGAATGTCTTAAAAACCAAACTAGTAGCAGTCAAACTGAGAAGCAATGCTGAGGCGGTTTCACAGTGGTCACTTTATATTCAAAACCTGAATGGGAACTCAGGAAGTTAATCACCACAGAACCCACACAAAACAGGGCAAGAAGGATCACTAGTCTAGGTCCAGAATAACTTCCAAGTCACTACTACAGACTACACGATGAGTAAATCATAATTAGAGAAGGTAAAACCTAGAAGACAACCATAATTTTATCTATGTGGTTTATTTCTATAGAAAAACTCAAGACATATTTACCTTAACACATTATACCCTTTTCAATGAGTTAACTATGTATGAGAAAGCAATTTATTGAAAATAAAATCAACATTTGGGCTATTTTTTCTGATAATTACTTTGTTAAACTTGAAGTCCTTTGGTTTATTCAAAATTGTACAAAAATTAGGTTAGTGAAAATTAGTTAGGAAGTATTTTTAGTGTGTTACATATATAAAATTAGCTGAAATAACAAAAGTCAAGAAATACAGTGAATTTCATTCAGACTCCCGTCTAGTGCTGTACTTCACATGTGCCAGAATCACTGTGGTCAGTGTGAAAACATGCCCCCTTTACCGTTAAGACTTAATTCCTTGATTCTGGTTCCAGGGTGTTTCTTTATAAATGGTATTGCTAAAGAATACATAATCTCCATGGTACTTACAGAAACTCCCATACAGGATCTCAATTACATAAATTTAAAACTGAATGAAGATAAAAAAAAGCTTGTATATTTTTTCCTAGGAACAGTAGAAGTAGAGGGAATGTTACCACCATCAGAAAGACATATTCATTAGATTCAAATATGCTACATGTTAGGTTAAGCACACCAATATTTATAAGCGGAAGTGGAATGTAAAGTTCATTAAGTATAAATGAAAGGGGAAAACTTTCATTTTTTTTTTTGAAAGGGGAAACCTTTTTTAAAAAAATATATTTTTTTATTAATTTCAGAGAGGAAGGGAGAAGGAGAGAGAAAAAAACATCAATGATGAGAGAATCATTGATCGGCTGCCTCCTGCATGCCCCAGATGGGGTATCGAGCCCACAGCCTGGGAATGGAACCATGATCTCCTGGTTCATAGGTCGATGCTCAACCACTGAGCCATGCCAACCAGGTAAAAGAAGAAGCCTTTCAATAGTCTACCTATCCATATATATAAAAGCCTTAAATGACCAAACGACCGGTTGACCAGTCACTATGACGCATACTGACCACCAGGGGACAGACGCTCAATGCAGGAACTGCCTCCTGGTGGTCAGTGCGCTCCCACAGCCAACCTCCTGCGGCCCCTCCCCCCCAGCTAGCCAACCTACTGTGGCCCTCCCCCAATCCCCCCCAGCTAACCTCCCATGGCCCCTTGCCGGCCAACCTCCCCCCCCCCCTTCCCCCAGCTAGCCCTCCAATAGGCCTCATTTGCCAGCCAGGCCGAGGGGACCCCACCCGTGCAATTCATGCACCGGGCCTTTAGTACACCTGTAAGTGCCCAGAAATATGGCACAAATTCTCAGTCCATCACTTCTACCTGGTATATGCCAGGTACTTCCCCCTCTATTTTGCTTTTATTATATCTCACTTCCAGAACAATTTTGTTTTTCATATAAATAGATTCAGTACATGCAAGAAATATAGTTCTTTATTAAAACCTAAATATATTTTTGCAAGACTTTAAAAACTGTGTCACAGAATTATTAAAACATCTCTTGCTTTCAATCCAAAAAAATAAAAAGAATCAAAGACAAACTTCAAGGCTACCTTTAAACAAATCTCCTCATGTGGTCCTGAGCAAAACATATACAACCCTTAAGTATTTATGAAGAAGAAACATTTCCTAGTCTATAAGTAGTAAGTACAAGGTAAAAAACTTACTATCATTCATTTGCACAGCTCTATGAGAAAGATCCATTTGAGAGGGAGAGAAAAAAATTCTGAGATAGTGAATTGCACTTCAGAAAGGTATAGGCGAGAGAAGAAAAATGACAGTTAATTTTTCCTTTGGTCTTTAAAAACGTATCCATTTTCTAGAGCTTCTAAGACCACACAAACCAAGACTTCGCCAATAACTCAAGTGGCAATTTACCTAATCAGCATGGCAATCGCTGAAAAATTCCATATTTACTGATTGCCCTAATCAAAAATCACATTTCAAATGGGGCTAATTGACAAGTTTACAGTCTGAAATTAAGAGAAGTGATATATTAGGTTCTTTGGGTTGTAGAAACAAAAATGCTCTATTCATACTTACTGAGTACTCAGGGTTGCACTTCACTCCAAGAAATTATCAAAAACCGGACAATTACTCATCAGCCAAAAACTACACACCAAACACAAATCAAAGACCAATAGTAAAAAACACCTCCAGCAGACACTTGACAGAGTTGGCAGTACGACCAAATGGCCCTTCTTGTGTGTAAAGAAAATAGCACCCGACCAGCTTGCTTGGCTCAGGGGTTGAAAGTCAACCTATGAACCAGGAGGTCATGGTTCAATTCCCAGTCAGGGCACAGGACTGGATGGTGGGGCTTGATCTCCAATAGGGAGCCTGTAGGAGGCAGCCAATCAATGACTCTCGAATCATTGATGTTTCTAATCTCTCTCTCCTCCCTTCCTCTCTGAAATCACTAAAAAAATATATCTTTAAAAGACAGCTATACTTAAAACATTTTACAAGACTGATAAAATGGTTTAAATGTTAATTTCACTAAAATTCTTTCTGACCAAATGTTAAAGTTCAAAATTATATAAAAAGAAATCAGACTTAAAAAAAATCATTTAATATTTTCATAGTACTTATTATGTACCAGGTACTGCTTCAAGTGCTTAATAACGTAAACACAGTTATTGTGAATATTCTGTGAGATGGGTATTTTCTGCATCATTTAAGAAATGAGGAAACAGGATTATAGACAAAAACCTGCTTGAGATCACAGGCTATTAAGAGACAGAGTGAAAGCTACAGGATCACTCCCACTACACTATGCTACTCCAAGTTTCACACGCACTTGCTGGCTGAGATGCTGCTTCATGTTATTTTATTTCAGAAGGACCAATGGAGAACCACCTCCTCAATCAGGAGGGTCAGAGGCTTAGGGTTTTTCAAGAAGACAGGATTAGGGATTTTAAAACTTTCAACGTTTTGAAAGTTTAGAATTAACATTATTACACACTAGAGGCCCAGTGCACGAAATTTGTGCACAGGTAGGGTCCCTATCGGCTGCCGGCCAGGGCCTCCCTTCCCTGGCTGCCAGCTGTGGCCTTCCTTTGTTCCACGTCGCCCCTGGTGGTCAGCACACGTCATTGCGAGTGATCGAACTCCCAGTCAGTTGAACTCCCAAGGGGACACTTTGCATATTAGGCTTTTATATATATAGATATCTAATGAAGACAGGAAGGGAAAATAAGTATACTTAACACATGCTTAACTACACTTTGGTAGTAAGCATCTTGACAAACAGGGATTCATAGGGAGAAGAAAAAAAGATCTTGGTTAAAATATTTGAAATCACTGCTCTTTTTAAAATGGTAATACTACCCTAGAAGATTGAGTATTCAACAAATCATAAATATAAGGATCAGATAAAAATTAAAATAAGATAAAGACAGAGAGGTATGGATGAAGAGATAGATGGACTGAAGGACAGATAGTTCTGTCTACATAAATATGAAATCTAGAGGTCACAATAGACCATGAAAAAAATATGCCAGAAAAGTCTTAAAGACAGTAAAGAAAACAAAAGTCAAATCATATGCTGAACTATGCATAAAGAGTATGGGGGGAGAAGGAGGGGAAATCACAGAACATGGAATTTCCTTCCTTGAAAGCAGTCATTTGTCTGGGCATATCATTCAACTGTGACCATTTACTATCCAGCAATGACCATTCCAGATTAGGCCAATTATTTATCCAACACATCTCCTACAAAGGTTATCAGGGAATAATCTGTGATATGTATGACATCCTTACCTTCCAGGAAGTTCAACCTCACAACCCCAAGTTTTTCTAGGTTCTCTTATAACCGAGGGCAATTAAAATTCATTGATCTATCTATCTTTCTTGAACTACTTTTTAAAATATATTTTTACTGATTTCAGAGAGGACAGGAGAGAGATCTATGATGAGAGAGAATCCCTGATTGGCTGCCTCCTGCATGCCCCACAAGGAGGATCGAGCCCACAACCTGGGCATGTGCCTTGACCGGGAATTGAACCATGACCTCCTGGTTCATAGGTTGATGCTCAACTACTGTGCCACACTGGCCAGACATCTTTCTTGAACTTTTATATTTCTGGTTTATATGCAGATAATTCCCAATTTTCTCCCCACTCATCTTCTCTCTTGAGCAAGTAATGGACACAAATTTAACTTATAGCAGATGACTTTAACCTCTACAAAAATCAGATTCATCATATTTTTTTATATTTCTTCACCCTCCTGGGTTTCCAAATTCTGTTAAAGGCCTCATTAGTCACTCAGGTATCCACAGTGCACACATGAGCCTCATTTGAAACTTCTCTCTCCCTCACTTATCACATTCAATTATCCAACCCTTCAGGTTCCTTCTCCACTCTGAATCCACTTGGCCACAGACTACTTCTGACCTTCATTAATTATCTCTCCCTAATTAGAACCACCATCAAGTATCTTCCATAACCAATAGAATTGTGGTTCTAGAAAGGAGATTTAACAGCACTCTTCTGCTTAAAATGAGACTTTAAATGCTCCTACAAATACAGAGAAAAACTTGCACACACATTAATAAGAACAGGCAATTTATGAAAGAAAAACTGATTAGTAAAAATGTGATCAAAGCAGCAATTTTTAAAAAAATCATACTTTAAAATTAAGATAATCTTCCTTGCTTATCAAATTAGCAAGAACTTTTAAAAAATGGTAACACCTGATATTGGTGGGAGTTAGGAAATTAGAAATTGTCATCTGTTGCTACAGGAAATATAAATGGGTATGCTCTTATCTGGAGATTAATGTGGTGATATTAACCAAAAGTTCAGAAATTCAACATAACTTTTCATCCAGCAATACTATTTGTATAGTTTACATTTATCGACCAAACGGCGGAACAACCGGTCGCTATGACACGCGCTGACCACCAGGGGGCAGACGCTCAACACAGGAGGTGCCCCCAGCCCGCAGGCCCCCGCCAACCTCTCGGTCCTTCCCCCAGCAGCAGGCTCCAATTGCCCGATGGGGAATGGAAAATGGGGAACTGGAGCTGGGTGGCGACGGGGGACGTGGCTGGCAAGCGGGCGGGAACTGCTAACCTCTTGGTCTCTCCCCCTGGCTGGCAGGCTCCAATCACCCGATGGCAAAAGGGGAACTGGGGGTGGGTGGTGGTGGATGCGGGTGGCACCAGGCCAAGGGCCCCGCCCCGCCAGTCGGGAATGGCCAACATCTCAGTCCCTCCCCCGCAGCCGGCAGGCTCCGATACCCTGATGGCGACCAGGGAACAGGGGGTGGATGGTGGTGGGGGGCAGGGCTGGCTGCTGGCAGCCAGGGAAGATGGCCCTGATTGCAGGCCAGGCCTAGGGACTGTACCTGTGCACAAATTTCATGTGCCAGGCCTCTAGTGTGTATATAATTCTGAAAGTGGGAATCAGGAATATTATGAACTGAATGACAATGAATATATGACACAAAATAAAAGGAATATATATGACATGAAGCTAAAGTGAAATTCATAGTACTCAAGTGCATATATATTAGATATGAAAGACTGCAAATAAATTACGTTGTTTCCATCTCCAAAAATCAGAAAAAAGAATAGCAATTTAATTCCAAAGAAAATAGAAGGGAATAAAGAAGACAAAAGCAGAAATTAATAGAAAACCAACATACAATCGGGGGGAGGGGAATGCCCACAAAGCTAAAAGTTAGTTCAATGGAAAAAAACACAAAAAACGAAACCAACAATATTAAATAGACCCTCACAACACTATTCAAGAAGAAAAAAGGAACAGTACACATTACTAATACCAGGAGACAACAGAGGCAAGAAAATACAATGAGATAAAGACAGCCTCTTAAACAGTGGTGGAAATACTGGACAGAAAGATGCAAAAAAAAAAAAAATTCAAACTAGACCATTTCCTTATACTTTATACAAAAATGAACACAAAATGGATTAAAGACTTAAATATAAGACATGAAACCATAAAACTCCTAGAAGAAAACAAAGGCAGTAAACTTTCTGACATCAGTCTTAGCAATATTTTTTTGGATGTCTTCTCAGGCAAAGGCAACAAAAGCAAAAATAAACAAATGAGATAACATCAAATTAAAATGCTTTTACACAGTGAAGGAAACCATCAACAAAACTAAAAGGAGATCTACTGAATGAGAAATGAAATTTGCAAACAATGATTTATCCTATAAGGGGTTAATACCCCAAATATATAAAGAACTCATCAACTTTACATCAAAAACCAAACAATAGATATTTCTTCAAAGAAGACATAGACATGGTCAACAGGCACATTAAAAGATGCTCAAATATGTGCTGGGGGATGGGAGCGGCCAGGGAGAGGTCAATGGGGGGAAAAGGAGACATATGTAATACTTTCAACAATAAAGAATTTATTTATTTATTTATTTATTTTTTTAAAAATATATTTTATTGATTTTTTACAGAGAGGAAGGGAGAGAGATAGAGAGTTAGAAACATCGATGAGAGAGAAACATCGATCAGCTGCCTCCTGCAAAGAAGACATAGACATGGTCAACAGGCACATTAAAAGATGCTCAAATATGTGCTTGGGGATGGGAGCGGCCAGGGAGAGGTCAATGGGGGGGAAAAGGAGACATATGTAATACTTTCAACAATAAAGAATTTAAATTAAAAAAATTAAAGATGCTCAAATCACAAATAGTCAGGGAAATGAAAATTAAAACTACAATGAGATATCACCTCACACCTGTCAGAATGAGGTATCAAAAAGACAACAAATAACAAGTGTTGATGAGGATGTGGAGAAAAGGGAATCATTGTGCACTGTTGGTGGGATTGTAAACTAGAATAGCCACTATGGAAAACAGTATGATGATTCCTCAAAATATTAAAAATAGAGCTACTGTATGACCCAGCAATTCCACTTCTGGGTATTTATCTGATTAAAATGAAAATAATTTGAATAGACATATGTACTCTTAAGTTCGTTTTAACACTGTTTACAATAGCCAAGTTATAAAAGCAACCTAGGCCTGGCCAGTGTGGCTCAGAGGTTGATGATATCTGGTTAGGTAGCAAGCAGACAACCAGGAATGAAGAAGAAAGGGCTTCATGAAGAAAGTGGTTTTGAAAACGACACATGACTTAAGACTTTCTTGATAAGGCAGCACACAGCCACGGAGCTCAAAAATAACATTAAATGGGGATACAATTTAAAATTAATGCAAAATTTATGAAGCCTAACATTTAACTATTTTGTCCCTATTCCACTGCAATCCAAATGCCATGTAATTATTTTCATGGTTACCATTTCTGAACCACTTCTGTCCTCGAAACAAGTTATAAGGGGTCAGGAAAAAACCAGTCTTCTCAGAACCACAGTATTAAAGGCATATTCCTACCAAAGCAATGCCTGACTTCATATTGGGTGGTTCTGAGATACAATTTGTTCAAGAAAGGGACACTGGTTTCTTTCAATTAAGTGGTTATTACATATCTATTGCATGTGATGTAATTTGCCTCACTACTTGTATTAATAAACAGCAATGCATCCACTATCTTTTTGCATATACTCACTCAAAAGAAGATTTATACACGAAAATAAGAAATCCAACTCATACATTCAATTAACTATTTATATACAGTAAAAATATCTTAAGACTACATGAAGTATTCTCTTATAATCCTTCTAAATTGTATATTTTTAAGACCACTATTTCTGCATGGATACAATGAATCTTTTTTTCAGCAATAAAGATTTAGCAACCAATTAGCAACCAACCTTTGTGTAATATTCAATTTAGCATGTAAAATAACCAACTAGTAAAAACTTACTTGACATAAGTTTTGGAATCTGGGCTTGTCCTCTCAACAGCGGCCTGTATAAGTTTCCCTGATAATTTACAGGCGGTGGCGCAGCATTGCTGTACATGCCAGTTCCTGAGCCTCTTGGCATGACATGGCTGTAAAAGAACCCACCCAACCAGAATAAAAAATTATATCCAGAGATATCCATCACATCACAGCGGACACAAATTAAACAAGTGCTAGTTGCCATCTCTTTACGATAAGATCTAATTAAGATAACACAAATTTAAAAGATTAACCAAGTTCAAAATAGTAGCTGATATTAATGTGACAGCAAATATTCATTTGCCCCACCAAGATTCTTAATGGATAATCATTTAAACATTAATTAATTACTGTAAGCAAAAATTAGTTTATTCTTTTTTTGCATTGTATTTCAATTGTGCTCTATCAGTATACAGCTGTCTCTTCGTACCTGGGGTTTTGGGACTAGGACCACTTGGGGACACCAAAATCCAAGGAGTCCCTTATATAAAATGGTCTAATATCTGTACATAACCTGTATTTCCATATAAGCTATACCAGGGTATGCTTATGATCACTTCATTCACATGGACTCAGGTGTAGTACTTAACATGGGGCAAATTCAAGTTTTGCTTTTGGAATTTTGGAAGCTTAACCCCCACAATATTTTTGATCCCAAGTTGGTTGAATCCATGAAATGAAACCTGTGGATACAGAGGGCCGACAGTATACACTACTCTACTCTATATCGTGCTTTTTTCTTTTCCAATTTAATATATCAAACATTTCCCTATATCTTTCATAGTGTTCAGAACTGTAACATATATATATATATATGTATATGTATATATATAACTACAGAATACTTTCCAATGTTCATGTCTCATATTTTACTAAACCATTCCTCTCATTTAGTACTAGCATTACAGATAACAAGGCTCTGGAGGTAATTAGGCATGTAACTTTATGCTCCTCTACAATTATTTTCTCAGGATAAATTCCAAAAATTAGAAACTTGTATCTAAGAGCATCTTCAGAACTCAGTACTCTAGTTAGAGGTACTTCTATGTTGCTTTAGAAAACAGTTGAAATAATGCAAAAAGATATCTTAAGAATATATTAGCCCAGCCAGCATGGCTCAGTGATTGAGCATCGACCTATGAACCAGGAGGTCATGGCTCGATTCCCGGTCAAGGCACATGCCTGGGTTGCAGGCTCAATCCCCCGTGTGGGACGTACAAAAAGCAGCCGATGAATGATTCCCTCTCATCATTGATGTTTCTATCTCTCGCTCCCTCTTCCTCCCTCTCTGAAATGAATAAAAATCTATATTTTAAAAAAATAGTATTTTAAATTTGCATTTCTTCTATTATTAGGAATAAAGGCTTCTAAAACAATCAACCACAACAGCTAACATTTCCAGTGTTGAGATCTATTCTAAGCATTTGCTAAACATTAGCTTAATCCTCACTACAACTTTATAAAGTAGGTATAATTATTATTCCCATTTTACATATAGGTAACAAAGGCATAGACTGGTTCAGTAACTTGCAAAAAAATATCAAGTGGTAGAAAAAGCATTTGAGCCCAGACATTTAGGATCTAAAATCATGCTCTTAACCACTTACTATGCCACATTCACTGTGCCTTACTATTCATTGTATTAAGTACATGCTGATGGTGACCTAATGTCTAAATCGTATTTTGAATCTTAAGGTTTTCCAATGTATTGAAAATATCTATTTATGAGTTATCATTAATTCATAAACAATAGCTCATTAATATTTCCCCCAGCCTGTTGTTCTTTTTATCCCATCTTGTCACCTGTTATTGTTTTAAGGTCTCCCTCTCTATATGGAGTTCCCTCAGTAACTAGGAAAAAGACAAATAGCTCATAAGGGCACAGTATAAAAATTGGAAATTCACATAAGAGGAAATACGTTACTAATAGACATGTTAAGAGAGACTCAATCTAACAGACAAAGAAATGAAAATTCAACAACAATGAGGCACTGCTGTTCAAATAATGGTTAAGCAAAAATCTAGGAAACTGGTGGCTTTGTGTATTCACGTCCTGCTTAACACTTTAAAGGGATTCTGTCATTAATTCAGCTAAAACTTTCTTAAAAATAAAAAGATTGTTTTACTCTCTTGAAATAACTATCAGAATAGCAAAATTTTAAAAGAGAAAACAGTGGAATTCTCAAACAACACATAAAGTAATACATAAACCAAAGAAAGAGCAGTGAATTTAAAAACAGAAGAAAAACAGGGAAGGATGAAAGTCATTAAAATATCTGCAAAAAAGTTGTACTGAATAGTCTCATAAAGTATCTGTGGCATAAATACTGACTTAGTGCTTTGTGGCTGGGTCAGAAAAAGCAAAATATACAAATGACAGGAGCCTAACACTCACCCCAAAGTCCTGAATGCTGCCTGATCCAGGTGGACAGGCCGCCGGTCCCGATTGAAGCCAAGCTGGGGCTTCCACTGCCGTCCATTGCTGGATTTTTCCCAGTCACCAGGTTTCAGTACCGGTGCTGGTTTTCTGACCATTTGAAAATACAAGAGTTACAGAGATAAACATTGTTCATAAAAAAACAAATCTAGATAGTTTATATTTTATAACTGCATTGTTGTTACCTTGCTCCCGGAAGCATTACAGCTTTAAAAATGTAATCTTCGGCAAACTGTGGGTCTTTAAAATTAATACTAGAAAAGAACAATACACAATTTAGTGATTAGCCTGATTTAACCACCACATAAACTGAGATTCTTCTAATGTTTAAACAGAATAACTAAAATTCACAAGTCTTCAAAAATTATTTTAGTCAATAAATATCTTCCTCACCAAACTGTTGCTAATTCTTAGCCTTCATGTAACTTTCTGTGGGAAATTCTAGCTAATTGTGGGTGATCACAGATCTTTAGTAGACATGGCCTCAACCCAAAAAAATCTTCCATTTTGTTCAGTCCCTGGCAAAGACTCTCCCTCTAGCATTTTAAGGAAAATCAGGTCTTGTTGCAATAGGAAAAGATACGAACATCAATAGAAACATCCTATATAATTAAAGGATAATATGCAAATCAACCAAACGGGGGAATGACCGGTCACTATGATGCGCACTGACCACCAGGGGCCAGACGCTCAACGCAGGAGCTGCCCCCTGGTGGTCAGTGCGCTCTCACAGGGGGAGCAATGCTCAGCCAGAAGCCCTGAGCAGGGCTCACAGCTGGCAAGCACAGTGGCGGTGGCGGGAGCCTCTCCCACCCCCACAGCAGCATTAAGGATGTCCAACTGCCAGCTTAGGCCCGCTCCCCAGGGGGGATGTCAGTTGGACATCCCCGGAGGGCCCCTGCACTGCCAGAGGGTGCAGGCCGGGCTGAGGCCCTGCGCCCCACCCCCCACCCCCAGTGCACAAATGTCATGCACCGGGCCTCTGGTTTGTAAAATAAAAAAATACACACAAATATTGGGGGGTGGGGGGGTGGCGAGGGAAGGGGTGACACTAAGCTTTCCAGTTGAACCCTGTATTCTGCTCTACTAATGGGTGTTTTATAATGAAACAGTCACATTTGAAAATTATGCAAAGACTTCTTTTATAAGGCTGTACAGTCCAACTTTGAGTATAATAAGCTGGGTCAAACTTCCTCTCTGGTGGTATGTATATGAGTCCATTCAAAGGTTGGTAAGTACAATAGTTGTCCTTCTGACAAAGCAATGCCTCTCTGGGATCCTGGATGTGTGTCTGATTTATACTTAAGGATGCTTATAACATTAGTATTCATCAGGTGAAAAAACTGTAAAACTTAAAGTGCATGAATAATAGAAACTATGCTTCTTCCTAAAAATACTTAGTTGGTATTTTAAACATTTTACTAATAGAATAATGACATGGGAAAATATATATTCACAAGGGACCAGACATATATTTAGCAAAGGGTCACCAGTGATATTCTCTGCATAATCAACCATCTCCTTTCTTTCTTTGTGTTTTTTAATATTTTCCAAAATTCCTCCAATGATTACAAATTACAGTTTAAAAGGTTTTAATGAATTGGTTGACATTTGATTTATTTATTTATTTATTTATTTATTTATTTATTTAACGCATTGCGGACCGATCACAAGAATTCTCGCTTCAAATTATACAGTGTTTTACAAATTATCATACTTTAAGAAGATATTAGCTTGTAAGAACATGTAGTAAATAACTTCAAAATGCAATGGGTATTTAATTTTAAAGTGTTCCTTTAACATTTATGTAAAACGTTTTTTTGTATTCGTTCAATAGAAACTTATCTGGCCATTGGGTAAAGCTAGCAATAAAACTACTGGTCTGCAATAAAATATTTTTACTGATTTCAGAGAGGAAAGGAAAGGGAGAGATAAAAACATCAATGATGAGAATCACTGATTGGCTGCCTCCTGCACGCCCCCCCCACCTGGGGATTAAGCTTGCAACCCAGACATGTGCCCACGACTGGAATTGAACGTGGGACCCTTCAGTTTGCAGGCTGATGCTCCATCCACTGAGCCAAACAAGCTAGGGCACTGGTTGACACTTTTTTTTTTTAAATATATATTTTATTGATTTTTTACAGAGAGGAAGGGAGAGAGATAGAGAGTTAGAAACATCGATCAGCTGCCTCCTGCACATCTCCTACTGGGGATGTGCCCGCAACCAAGGTACATGCCCTTGACCGGAATCGAACCTGGGACCTTTCAGTCCACAGGCCGACGCTCTATCCACTGAGCCAAACCGGTTTCAGCATGGTTGACATTTTTTTTTTAAAGTATATATATTTCTTTATTGATTTCAGAGAGGAAGGGAGAGGGAGAGATAGAAACATCAATGATAAGAAAGAATCATTGACTGGCTGCCTCCTGCACGCCCCCTATTGGGGATCAACCCCGCAACCCAGGCATGTGCCCTTGGCCGGAATCGAACCTGGGACCCTTCAGTCCACAGGCCGACGCTCCATCCACTGAGCCAAACCAGCTACGGCACTGGTTGACATTTTAGATAACTAATTTTTTTCTCTTCAAATACTGGCACTTAAAATTATTAGGACCCACCTGGCTAGTGTGGGTCAGTGGTTGAGCATCGACCTGTGAACCAGGAGATCATGGTTGTATTTCCGGTCAGGACACATGCCTGGGTTGAGGCTCAATCCCCAGTAGGAGGTGTGCAGGAGGTAGCTGATCAATGGTTCTCTCTCATCATTGATGTTTCTATCCCTCTCTCCCTTTTTCTCTCTGAAACTAAAAAAAAAAAAATTAAAAAGTATTAAAAAATAAATAATTAGGACCCATCTGTTATAAACTTCCCTTGCAGTATGATTTAATTATATTTTAAGTACACAAAAATAGTTTCATTTATCATAAAAATGCCATGAGCTCAAGAACAGCTGGGCTTCATTTACTCTATCTGTTCCTCTTACAACTCACTTTTCACTAGTAACTAACTGTCTTTATTGCAAATATTTTCTATTGGGCAAGGTGGCTTAGGCAGGGCAAGTCAGAACAGGCAGTGTTAAAAGTTTAAGAGAGTGATAGAGAAAACAGTATTTAAGTATTTGGTCTCATTAGTGCTCTGCAAACACAAAGTAAAAAGAAAATTGGTAATAAGGCAAGATTTATAAGTAAAGTATCTCAAAGCAGTTATCTCTGTGTCAGCAGGACTTGTCAGCCCAAGCAACTTTCACAGTGCCCACTGCATACATAGTCTCATGGTGGGAGTGGAGGTATAAACGCATTGAGCTTGCCTCTTTTTCTAATAAATAGGAAATGTCTAATTAGTTTTATAAGGAATAAAGTGAAAAAGGCAACAACAGGCTCGGAGTCAAAGCATGTGTGTGCACACATCTCCCCCACACAAGTTTTTGTGAGTGTGGGATAATAGCATGTGTGTAAGGGGGTAGAGCAGGGGTCCTCAAACTTTTTAAACAGGGGGCCAGTTCACTGTCCCTCAGACCGTTGGAGGGCCGGACTATAGTTTAAAAAAAACTATGAACAAATTCCTATGCACACAGCGGTGGCAGAAACACCCAGCAGGCCGGATAAATGTTTTCGGCGGGCCGCATGTGGCCTGTGGGCCGTAGTTTGAGGACCCCTGGGGTAGAGTAAGGAGACCAAGGAAAACATCATCATCCCAAAGGTTATGGTTATAGGATGGCAGAGGAAATAATGGAACAAAGACATTGAAAGGGGTCCCAGGACCAAGGAGTAGTTCAGTTTAATTGGCACAGCCTTCTTAATAGGGATCTGGGAGAGAAGCAAGCCCTCAAAAATGATTTTGAGTGACTACCGCCTCAATGCTTCCAAGATACGTAACTCGTATCATTGTAAAGGCACAGGACACAAACTGACTCATTACATGCAACGGAGGCTGTAAGTTCTCCGACTTAATTCTCAGATGGGACCCCAGTTGTGAAGGGCTGGATTGGAGTGCCAAAGTATGTGAACAGAGTGGGCAGTAAGACAGGATGGTTGAACTGGGATATTGTTGTGAAGGGCTTGTTCTGACTATGACGTGAAGCTCCTTCAAGATGTCAGTAAGGAAGTAAATGCAATCAAAGATGCAATTCAGAAAGAACCACCCAGCAGCAGTGTGTGAGAGCAGGGGGAAAGAACCAAAAGGAGCTTCAACATATGCTTGTTGGGTAAGCAGGGCTGGAAACAAAATAAAGAGTACATTCAGGTGAGGGCTCAAGATGAAGGAAAACAGATCCTTTTATCTGGCAAATATGTGCATATGTGCACTTTACTGTATGCCAATTATTCCTCAATAAAATTGTTTTTAAAATTCCTTTATTCATGCTCAATAAGGAGAAATATTTCCAAGCTAATAGGAAAACTATCTCCAAGATCTTCCTTAGTTCTTCTCATAATCGTACTTAACAGAGTTATCTATATACATGGTGCAAACCACTAGGAGACAGAAAAGGAGTATCTGAAAGTAAGCGTGGAGGTCCCTACTGAAGGGACAATGGACACTATTAATGATCTCAAAGAGTAAAGCATTCTTTTCCATTGGATCTTTGAGAACAGTTTGAAGACTTACTCTTTTCTAAAATGAGTTAACCTTTCACTTATTAAGAGATTTTAGTATTTTAATTTGTTTCCAAAAATATATACTAAGAATTGTTTTTAGAAATAACTAAATAACAAAAGAAGCTAGAGCACAACTCAACTGCACTTTTCCAATGTGATAATATAAGCCACAACTTGAATAAACCTCGAAAGGCAGGAACCCATTAAGCAAAAACCAGAGAATAACTTTCATTTCATCCAAATTTTGGAAATTCCTGAGTTTTTCAGATTTATGTAATTCAAATTCTTATAGGTAGAGGATTAAAAATAATAAAAGTAATTTTATTTAATAAAATACAGAAATAAAAATACTGGAAATCATAAAGGGGAAACAATCCAGATCAGGCCTTAACAAATTTCCACCACCAGAAACAAAAGTGATTAATAATGGAGAGTTTATCAGGGGAAGGAAAGCAGTAAAACCGAGATAAGACAGAAGCACTGTCAGGGAGGAAATGAGTTAACAGAACAGCTTAAGGACTCAGCAGGCTACTGAGCTAAGAGAATTGTGCTTTGATTTATATTGTTTCATCTAATTCGCTAAACAGGAGAAGTATTTTTCACCATTTGTTCCAGGTGGAAAAATGCTGACATACCCAGTATAAGGTTCTATCCACCAGACCAGCTCTGACCCAGGAGTAGCATAATGGATCCCTTCCTTGGCAGATAACCTATTATTTTCATCACCTGTCTTCATAAACACAGCAAGGACAAATAAATATAAATTTAAAAGCTAAGTATGTTTGAAAGAAAACTGAACAGTGGTTTTACTTGTACCACAAGCAGCACTTTAAAACTATTTATAAGAAGAAAATAGTGTAGTAGTGTAGCCAAGTCTCAATGGAAAAGGAATAGAATGTACAACACCTTCTTCCAATTCAGTTCATTTTAAGAATTATCCTTAGAAAATTGTATTGTTTGAGAGTGCTAGCACACTTCACAAAGAAAGCAGAAAACTCAATATCAAGTTTAATTTTTCCTCTACCTTTTCCTTGTACATTGAGGAAAATTAATGCTAAATCAGCATACCGATGCAAACTGTTCTTAAAGAGAAAATTTTATGATTCATACTAGAGGCCTGGTGCACAAAAATTCATGCACTCGTGGGGGTCCCTCAGCTCCTGCCACCGCTGCTGGACTCGCAGCTAACAGCCCAGCTTGTGGCTGAGTGGAGCTCCCGCTGTGGGAGTGCACTGACCACCAGGGTTTCAGTTCCTGTGTTGAGCGTCTGCCCCCTGGTGGTCAGGTCACATCATAGCGACCGATCTTCCTACTGTAAGGGTCAATTTGCATATTACCCTTTTATTATATAGGATACTTAACATTTTAAAACACTTAAGGAGTTTATATAGGACTTAAGACATCTTTTCTGACATTCTACCTGAAGAGGTTAAGCAGTTCAGTGTCCTATAAAGTACTACAGGCAGTGCAAGTTAAACCCTCCCAAGTGTTTTCAAACATTAAGTCTGTTACTGATTGCATGTACTCTACTTCTTTCAGGCTTTGGATTTCAAACTATCTGCTTGCCAACTACAAGCCTTAAGATCACTACAGTAATCCTACATAATAAAAGGCTAATATGCAAATCGACCGAATGGTGGAACAACCGGTCACTACGATGTGCACTGACCACAGAGGGAGCACCACTCAGCCAGAAGCTGGGCTCATGGCTGGCGAGCGCAGTGGCAGTGGCAGAAGCCTCTCCTGCCTCCATGGCAGCACTAAGGATGTCTGAATGCTGGCTTAGGCCCGCTCCTGAGCTGTCAGTCTGACATCCCCCGAGGCTGCCAGACTGCGAGAGGGTGCAGGCCAGGCTGAGGGACCCCCCCCCCCCTCACCCCCGCCAAATGCATGAATTTCTAGTGGTTATAATAAAAAGAAACATCTTTACAAACATTCACATTTTTTAAAAAAACCTCCCTGTTGATATAAAACATTCTATACCTTGGCTGATCCATTCAAAGGTGAAAAAGTTTGAGAAACACTCCTCTGTAAAAGTAAATTTGGGCTTCTTTTTTTTTTAATCCTCGCCCAAGGATATGTTTTCATTGATTTTAGAGAGAGAGAGAGTAAGAGAGAGAAACATCCATCAGTAGCCTCCTGTACACATCCCGCCTGGGGATCGAACCTGCAACCTAAGTGTGTGCCCCGACCAGGAATTGAACCAGCAACCTTTTGGTATACAGGACAAAGTTCCAACCAACTGAACCACCTGGCCAGGGCAGTTTGGGCTCTTAGAAGACTTTGGTAAAAACTGGTTCCAACACTATGAACAACTGAACTTTTACCTAAGTTTAGAACTATGCTAAGATCTGACAATGCTAGTGATGAAAAGAATATACAAAGATTATATAAATTATAGATTACCTTTAAAAGAGAAGAAAAGTAATGGAGGGTAGGCTAGAAAAGGAAAGAGCATTCCAAATAATGGAAGAAGGCACAGAGGTTGATGGGATACTGAAAGGACCAGCCTGGGTAAGGAGAAGGTGTCCTTGAGGAACTGTGGGGGTTCAGGCATAGAACTATAGCTTTGCCAAATTATGGCAGGCCTTGAACAAGCAAGAGTTTAATTCTACTGGCACTACATTGTAACCAAAGTTTTCCAAAGGGCAGTAGTCTTTAAGAAAAATAAGCTTTATGTCAAATGCCAAGAGATTCAGTGGGAAGGAAGGTGGAATCAAATAAACCAGCTGGGAGATCACTACAGTAATCCAGGAGAGAAGCACAAAACAGGCTCACCTGTAAAAAGAAAAAAATATTACCGAATAGTGGTGCAGATATAGGGAGTAATATAACATGAGAAGCTAAACTTATAAGAAGCTCCAAAGCCTGGGCAATGGGAAACAGGACGTCCAGGGACAGAAAGAACAAAGCAGCCAGGAGAACTGGTGAGGGGCAAAGGACAAGGAAGTTAGTTTGGAACATGAGTCTGAGGTAAACAAAGATGTGTGTGCATATATCTGTTTATCTACTCCAGAAGAATATAAAATGACACCAGGAAAATAACTTTTCTGTAATTTAAAATTATATGCAGGATTTATACATTTAAAGTTTACAAAGAATTACTGTAAAAATAAACTATGTCAAATTACAATGGTGGAGGAGAAAGATAGCTCAGTTCTATTCAAAATTAAGCTGCTAATAGGTTGAATGATTTATGAAATCAGAACTGGAAAAAAATCTTCTAGATTATAGTTAACCATAGTCTCTATAGGTCCTTCTATGAGACACCTCAATAATCTCTATAATATACTTTCTCAACACTAAAGATAAGACATAATGTGATGAGAAGAACTCACCTAAACGCACCTGAGTCTGAGATTTGTTTTATAAATTTAATACTCTTATGAACACCAAATTATACCAAAGGCTCTTTCAGGACCAAAACAACCAACCAACAACCTCATCATACAAACAAAAACTCCAGGATCTGTCAATTTTGTAAGGCTTCCCTTGGGCAATATCTCTATCCTAATTAGAAAGTTGAGTAGGAAGGCCCTTGAAAACATGCACAGAAATTGAGGAACACAAGCAAACACATGACAATCCAAAGAGAGAACTGATGGGATTAACTGGCCCGAAGCTCTGCGGCAAGCCAGAGACCCCAAGGGTTAATACAGTGTCCACACCGGATCTGTGGGAGCCAGACTGCTTGTAATGGGTACAGGAACATGGTTTACAATTCTAAAGTCTACCGTTAATAAAAGAGCCCAAAGACAAAGAGTCAGGACAAATTATGTGTAAAGATAAACTAAAGCGGGGGGAAGGGGAAGCCAGGGGATTGTCAAGGGCGGGGAAAAAAAAAAGGAGACATATGTAATACTCTTTGTAATAATTTAAGCAATAAAAAAATTAAAAAAAAAAAAAAAAAAAAAGATAAACTAAAGCAACTAACTAATATGGAAGATTTTCCATATTCACAATGGTTTTCTTTAAATAAAAGCCTTTCTAGCATGCTACCTAAATCCATTAAAGATAGGAAAATAAACATGCCTATACCTCACAATGAGAAATCTAAAATATTTCCTGAGAGAGAAATAATGAGTGAGAAAGGAAGATTTAAGAATAGTTTTTACAAAATCCTTTAACTGCTAGGATGTGTTTGCTTTACTCTCGTCTAAAGACTTAAGAAAATGACAACATAAACCCTGCCATCAAGATTATTGATTATATATAATAACTAGAGGCCCGATGCACGAAATTCGTGCAAGGGCCTTGGCCCCAACCCCCGCCCGCCGCTGCTGTGGCAGGGGCAGGTGGGGGGGGGGGCTTCTGCCGCCTCTGCCTCAGCCCCTGCTGCGGCTTTGTCTGGAAGGAAGGACGTCCGGACTAATTAGCATATTATGCTTTTATTATTATAGATTATAGAAATCATTAAGTTTGTAGATCTTTATTCTAAATAGTCATATTACATTTTACATTATTTTACTCAATAGAAAAATCCTGTCACCAAAGAAATAAGGTATAAATAAGTTTATAAATAAGCAGAAATTAAGAGTTTAAAATAAATTTTGATTGAAATTACCACAAATTCATCCCATCTCATCTTAATCAAAATAAAGTATACAATAGTTTTTAAAACTGTCTGTTATTTCAAAGCGAAGCAGTATGGGCCTCTGGTATACAGATCTTTGTTTGCTCGTATAGAGCAAACTACTCCTAGAAATTCCTACTTTCTATCTCCTCCCACTTTGCTAATCCAGAGAGAATTAGAGGTTGTCAGGGGAAACTAGAAAGCAGAGAAACAAGCTTGTTAAATCAGTAACCTTAACAATGTATGTAATTTAAAGTCAAGAGGCTCTGCTCTGAAGTCTGCAACACAGGGACTTCTCCAGTCTCAAAGCATTGGTGGAATAATAGCTGCCATTTCCTTGTGAATCGGAAGTCTTCTTAAACTTATTTGCAAGTTCAAAATGCTATGAATTTTGGAAAACTTACCTGATTGCAGTGTTCTGTGTCAGATCCCGTAACATGGGAACAGGAGAACATACTACTCTAAGGAGAAACAAGAGAAGAAGCATCTATTTGTAAAGTGTAACCTCTCAGATAAGTGGAAATAAGATGTTGCTATGTTTCTTAGGCTTTAAGAAAGAGAAATCATGAAAAAACACCAACAACTAAAATATAATAATTTATATCTTTAAAAAAGAAACCTATCTCCTTAGCTTGTAATCTCATCAACAGAAAACAATTATGGGCAAAGGGCTTATATCATAATTTGTAAAGAATATGTACAAACCAAAAGGAGGAATTGGGGAACAGAAAAATAAATAGAAAAAGAGAATAGGTATTTTATAAATGAGGAAAACCAAATATATGGCTTCATTCTCAATAATCAGAGAAATGCAACTGTAAACATAACAAGATGCCAAGAAGTATCCATCAGAGTGACAAAAATTAAGGTTGTGACAATTTCAAGGATTTTGCAAGAACACAGAGTAACAAGATCTCTCACAAATTGCCTTTGAGATTATAAAACAGTGTAATCACGTTAAAAGACCACCAAATATTATATAGAAAAAAAAGGAAGATACGTATACTCTATGACCAGCAAATTCTATTCCTTGAGCATCAGTTCTCAAATTCTGATCCCAGGACCCCTTTACATTCTTAAAAACTGATGACCCTCAAATAGTTTTTATGTTGGTATATCTGTCAATATTTATCTATTAAAAATTAAAACTAAGAAATTAAAAATTACTAATTTAAAGATACCAATAATACACTTATTACATTTAAGTTAAATAACATTTTTCATGAAAAACAACTATTTTACAAAGCAAATAAAAAATAAATGAGATCATTGTTTTTTAAATATCTATATTATAGCTGGATTCTCTTATATGCTTCTAATTCAATCTCTTAAGGTAACACACTACATGTAGCCTCTGGAAAATTCCACTGCACATTCAAGAGAGAAAGAGAAACAATAGTAAATAACACCATAATGTCTCCGTATTATTGTGAAAATAGTTTTGACCTCGTGGCTCTCCTGAAAGGATTAAAAGAACCCCTGGACTCCCTGCACAAAGTGGCACAGCTATTATGTCAGAGCTGGGCTTTGACTCCAAGTCCTTTTTAGTCCAACAAGTTTTCTGTTGTTTCGATTTTCTATTTGTAGAAAATAACACATTCATGGAACAAGGTAAAAATTCTAACTAAACTTTGGCCCACTCATACCAATTATACACAAATGAAAGCTTACTGATCTGGAAGAATGGCTTCTTCATCCAAAGAAAACTTTCCTTGAATCCCATGACATAATTCAGGTGGTACATCCACTGGCTGTGGAAAAATGCATTCCTGATTATATACCCCAAAAGAACGAAAAGCAGGAACTCAAACATGTACTTCTACACCAAAATCATAGTAGCATTATTCTTAAGACCCAAAAAATGGAAACAACTTAAGTTCTCATCAACAGATGAATAGATAAGCACAACATGGTGTATACATAGAATGGATATTATTCGGCCATAAAAGGAGTAAAATTGTGACACATGCTACAACATGGATGAACCCTGAAAATGTGCTAAGTGAATCGAGTCAGACACAAAAGAACAAATATAACACCATTTATGTGAGGTACCAAGAATACGTAGGTAACATAGAAATAAAAAGTAAGAGAGGTTACCAGAGGCTGGGGAAGTGAAGAATGGGAAGGTACTGTCTATTAATATTGTTTAATGGGTGCAGAGTTTCTAATTGGAAAAATGAAAATGTTCTGAAAATGGATACTGGTGATGGTCGCACAATATTGTGTATGGTCTTAATGCATAGAATTATACACTTAAGAATGGTTAAAATAGTAATTCTGTTTATATTTTACCAAAATCTTAAAAATGCATTCCTGATTAATTAACCAAATAAATATACTGTCTAAAAACACTCCATGACTGAAAAAGAGACCATACCTCTGTGGAACCTGTCTGGTATAGCTCTGAGATGAAGTCATGGAGTTGGTGATGTTTCCCTACAAATAAGACATCCCCTCCAAGACTGTTTCTTCTAGCTGGGGACAAAGTAAGAAAAGAATGAAGATTAAACAATTACATCTGCAAGAGCAATATTTATGAGAATGAAATAAGGAGCACCTATATTTTAAAAACTTAATTATAAGTTTATAAAAAATAATTTAAAAGCAATAAAACCTGCATGTGTGATCTCTAGAGAAAAAAACCAACTCTTTGACAATAAGGTTTCAAATATCAATGACTATCAGAAAAAATTAGCACTAAGAGATATCTGAATATAGCATTATAAGATAAGGGACAAAGTTTTCTTATTTACAAAGAACCCATATTTTTACTGTAAGAAATAAATATTCCCTGAGGAAACACAAATTATATCATGTAATAACAAGGGTATTCTAAGGAAGGTTGATAGAGAAATTATTTCAATAGGTTTATTATACTGATACTAAATCAACTTTCCAGTAGAGCTCAGCTCTGCAATTTCCCAATACTTTTAACTGTCAGTAGTATGACAAATTACCTCTTTTTGTGCAAAATAACATTTTAAAGTTAGCACTTTGAGGGCAAATGCTTTTGTTTCAATCTAACCATTTAAGAAAAGTTATTGTTATTTGAGGGAGATGATAGGAAAAAGGGAGAGAAAGGAAATTAACAATACCCTTGCAACACACAAAGTTAAAGGATATTCTTAAAATGATGTTTTCTTATAAATTTAATAAATATTTGTGACTTAAATTTTTTTATTTAATTATTATTCAATTTATGGATAAATTTTACGAAGCAAAGTTAACTTTTGTTAAAAAGAGGTAAAATAAATGATTTATGTCCCATTTATGGGAAATTTGACAAGTGAAAAAAAAAGGGTCAAATTTTATAAGAAAATGTAAAGTCTACATTACACAGACTCAATGCTGACCAAGTGAAAGTATAATTCTTACTCTCTTCTGGAGTGAGGTCTGGGTATACCTCTTCAAGGGCAGCTCGCAGCCTGCGCTCATCCACAAATGGCAACAGAGCAACACCTGGGGAGACAAATGTACACCAGCCACCCGGGCTATTAGAATCACAGATTCACCAATAAACATTTCTAGTGGGGTGTCCCTGCTAATATCAAAACATTTGCTTTTCCTTTCGGACGTCCCTCTCACTATCTAGGACTGCTGGCTCCTAACTGCTCACCTGCCTGCCTGCCTGATTGCCTTAACTGGCCCCCCTGCCAGCCTGGTTGCCTCTCACTGGTCCCCCTCTGCCAGCCTGGTTGCCCCAACTGCCCCCCCGCCACCGACCTGGTCGCCCCACACAGCCTGCTGCTCAGTCGTTTGGTTGTCCCTCACTAACCCCCCTGGCCAGCTTTGTCACCCCACTCAGCCTGTTCGGTCGTCTGTTTGGTTGTTTCGGATGTGACGGCCCCTGGCTCTTTATATATAGATGATATAATCATCAAGTCACCGGCATGCTTATATATTTACTTATATTTAATAAACCCACATAAGGACTTATTTAAAACAAAGATATTTACATATATTTTTACTTTACTCCCTCATATTCTCCTATCCTTCCTCTCCCTCCACAAAGTATCTTCAAAAACCATCTAATGCCCCAACCATTTGCATACAACAAAATATGACCAGGGAGCACTTAACCCTAATCAATGGGTTGCATTTTCCATTATAATTTCATAATAGTAATATGAAATTTCCATTATGACATAAAGTACAAGTCAAACCTAAAAAAATCTCAAAATATAATATCCTATTTTTTTAAATGCATTTTTATTAATTTCAGAGAGGAAGGGAGAGGGAGACAGAAACATCAATGATGAAAGAGAATCATTGATCAGCTATCTCCTGCTGGGGATTGAGCCTGCAACCCAGGCATGTATCCTTGACCAGAATCGAACCTGGGACCCTTCAGTCCATAGGCCAACACTTTACCCACTGAGCCAAACTGGCTAGGGCAAAATATAATAATTTTAAATTGTAAATTATTATTTATCTCCCTTTGCCCCACAACTCTCTTTGAGTCATTTTACTGGTCATTATAACACAGGGAACAACCAAATTAAAAGAGAGAAAACATGATTTACCAAAAAAGCTTATCATCCTAGAAAAATGTATGGTGGAAGGGAGGTTAAAATGATTTGATGAAAGGGGCTTACCGTGTGAAAAACTCTTATTGTGTTTTACAATTAGTCATCACACATTTTATGAGTGTTAAGTGGCATCTTGAATTTAGTACAAATTTTATATTGCCACTAGAGGCCCGGTGCACAAAAATTCGTGCACTCGGGGGAGGGGGGGGTCCCTCAGCCCAACCTGCGCCCTCTTGCAGTCCGGGACCCCTCGGGGGATGCCTACCTACCAGCTTAGGCCTGCTCCCTGGGGGACTGGGATAAGCTGGCAGTCAGACATCCCTCTGGCAGCCCGGGAGCCCTCGGGGGATGTCCGACTGACTGCTTAAGCCGCAGTTGGACATCCTTACCGCTGCAGAGGAGGACATCCTTAGTGCTTCGGAGGAGGTGGGAGAGGCTCCTGCCACCGCCACTGCGCTCGCAGCCGTCAGCCCAGCTTGTGGCTGAGCAGAGCTCCCCCTGTGGGAGCACACTGACCGCCAGAGGGCAGCTCCTAGGTTGAGCGTCTGCCCCCTGGTGGTCAGTGCACGTCATAGTGACTGGTTGATCCAGGGTCAATTTGCATATTACCCTCTTATTATATAGGAGTCTTATAAAATATGTGAACAAAGGAATGAGAAATTAATAAATAAATAAATAAGAAATAAATTTTAAGTAATGATTAATGCCAAGTATTCAAACAAAATTTCTAATACATTTTTCAAATGTTTCAATGGTGTACAAGTCAATCTCCACAGACACTATCTCTCAACAACCTAACAAGGTGTCAATGAGCTACTACTAACTGGAAGGAGCAAGTCCCAAGTCCAATAAATTAATCACAAAGGAGATGAAAGATATGATGATTAATGTATTTCAACCCAATTTACTGTTTATCAGAATGTTGCTATTAAAACTACCATTAATCATTGCTAATCCCAGGTTAAATGAAAAGACACTAAATTTTCACATATAATTCTTACAATATTTATCTTTTTTTTTACAGTAATTCTTCCATTTTATAAATCATGTTTCTCACAGTTTTACCAAAAAGTTAAGATTATTTTAACAAAAAGAAATAATATCTAAATTTTACCTTGCCATGCATATTTCTTTCCATTCAAATCAATAGCAAAATCTTCAGGGTAAAAGTCAATTATACTGGAATCCTATATCAAGAAGAAAAGTAAAGATTCAAAACAAAAGTTACATGCTGCTGTTATACAGGAATTTGTTATAATTTTCATTCAAGTTATCAAGCCTGATGAGAAAATGAGGTTTCATTCCGTTCAAAAACTGTTAAGATATCAGGTGATTAATTCTAGGTCTAGTAAAACAAAATTAAGAATATTTTTTTAAATGATGAAAAAAAAGCATTATTATAGAACTACAGAGCTGACAACTGTGGACCCAAGACAGTGAGCGAAGAGTTTATTGACTGCAATAATTCCTCCTTCCCAGCTTGGTCTCATTTTTTTTAGCTAGCATCCAAAACAAGCTCAGAGGTGATTTCAGGTAGGTCAGTCTTCTGAGCTCTTGTAGCCACCATAAAGGGCTGGAATAAGTCAAAACAGACTCAGAACAAAACAACTTGTCCTAAGTTCTACAGTGTGGTGAAGGCCTCGGTGCCTGGGGGGTAGTGGTGGAGGGGTCAATGGGGAAAAAAGGGGGACATCTGTAACACTTTCAACAATAAATATGAATTTAAAATAATAATAATAATAAAGTAATTTAAAAAATAATTTCTCCAAAACACAAATCAATTTTATTTACTGAGTGGGGTACCGATGCCAAGGAAACAAGAGGTGGAAAAAATAATGAAAATATATAGTAGAACTCACATACTTTTACTTTGTTTCTATACTTTACTGTTTCAACTAAGGTGCAAAAGCAACTGTGACTAATATTAGTAAAACCTATGACAAAAACCCAGTCAGTTACCAACACACTCAAAATGCTAAGACTCACTGGATCACTCATGAGCTTTCGCCATGATGGAGGTAGAAAGTTACCACTTGCAGCTGGAAAAACTCCCATAAGTTGTTCCAGTGGTTTAAACTGCAAGAAAGAAAAAAGTTTCAGATAAGCTACACAATTTTTATCTAAGCCAAGATTCTATGAATTTAATGGCTCTAAATAATTAAGCTTACCGGTTTAGTGCCCTTCTCAAAATCAGAAGGCAAGTCCGCAATACCTTCAAAGTCTGAAGCAAATGGTGCATAATGGAACGGGTAATACCACTTCCAGGAAGCACAGCCCTCAAATCATTAATAACAATACAAAAACAAAAATCTATGTTAATGATAGTCACAGCACAAATACAAACAAAAATTAGAATATTAACACACAACTTCTAGGATATATTCCATATATTAATTTTTTCCCACAAGTTCTAAAAGTTATGTTGATTAAATCTGAACTTTCTGCAAAGCATCTATATTTAAAAGCCTATGCTAATTGTCCCTCTGACCATTCGACCATTTGCTATGACATGCATAGACCACCAGGGAGCAGACGCTCCAACTGGTAGGTTAGCTTGCTGTTGGGGTCCGGCCTATCAGGACTGGGCGAGACGGGCCAGAAACGCCCTGGTCCCGTGGTAACCTTCTGGCCTCTAAAATATTTCTTCTAGTTAATTTCCTCTTAATGTGCATGAATCCGTGCACCAGGCCTCTAGTTTTTAATAATGAATTAACACGGTTATGATTTTTAGCCTTAAATGTGTTTCAAGGCATTTCTCTACAACTCTAGAGCTGCCATTATCAAATATAATGAAGAGCAGCTGCAGCTCACACTTACTTGAGCCCATTTGGGTGGGTAAGGAACATCACTGAAACAGAGGTTGAGAGTAAAACAGCCAAAAGTTTCATTTTACAATTCCCTATATTTTCATGTGACTTTCTCTTTACCATAAAAATACTTAAGTATACCCACTGAAAAGAAAACAAAAGCAAGTAATGAGTAGTCTTCCTGGTAAGTGTTTGACTCTGTGCCTAATAAATTAAAATCTTAACACTTTAAGCGCCCAGCCTGTTTTGTCTTCGAGATGGAAAGTATAGTGTCAGTCACCGGTGACTGACAGGGCATTTAACGTGTTAAAGGTAGGAGTAAAACATGAAATTAGAATATTTTACGATCAATACTATATTACTGTTTAGTGCCTTAAATTACTTCCTACTTACCAACAAACTTCATCTACTCCCAGGTCACACCAAACTTAACTTGCTTCATTCTCAGAGTATAAAACCATATATTATCTAGCAGTATTATATCCCCTATGTTTACATAATCTCTCACCAGTCTAACATCTCAATTATCGAAGGTTTTCAGTCAGATGGAGATTACTCCAATTAGAATGCACTTCATGTAACATCACTACATTACATGGAGACAATTATATCATTCAAATTCCTTTCAAATTCTTACTAGCATTTCCCAGTTTTCCTTTGTTCAGTCATTTAGTGATTTGTAGTTATTCAGTTATTTTTTTAAAAAAAACACCAAACTTTAATCACATGAAAGCCCAAGTATACTCTATCACACAATTTAATGCTAAAATCCTTTAATGAAACCCAAATTAGCTTTGTTTATATACTAACATTTAAGGAACTTTACAAATAAGTATTATTTAAGGTAATGAACTTCTAAATAGGAAACTTAAAAAAGGAAGAATGGGCTTAATTTCAGAATATATCTCAATAATATACACTATTATAATATTTTAGAGAAAAATATTCTTTTTGTACCTGGTAATAATATCGAAGAACCCAGCAGAGCCCTTCAACATAAGATTGTACAACTTTACGACGAAATTTCTCATCAGCCGCGTCAACATCAAATTTGTTCTTGTAGTACCGCTGCTTCCAACCAGCTTCCCATAGCCTACAAACCAGTCAAAGCCAGTTTACATTGACTAAATATACTTTCAGTAATTATCTACCAATTTATTGGCCAAATCAATGTATATTTAATATCCAGGTGAAACGTAAATGAGCTTAACAGTAATGTTAGCACAACTTCACTTAGTTATTTCTAAAAAGTCCACTTTCCCAGGATTTATTATCAACTTAAAGATAGCTAAACATCAAAAACCCAAACACAAACTAATAATACCGTTATAAAACTACATTTAAAAAAAGAACAACCATTTATTAAACTACTTTAATAACACCTGTTTGCTCAAATTTTCATACTGTTTTACATGTAGTTTTAGATTGTGGGACAATTCTAAAACTACATTTTAAATTCAAATACTGAAATTTTATATTGATCAAGTTCTGCAGTTTAAAATATATTTAAACTGTACCCAAAAAGTCAAATTACTTTTTAGGAAATGACTAGCACGATTCATTTTTTAAAAGGCAAAAAGTGGTTTATAAAAACCATTTCTGGGAACCAAGCAGAAATTATATGTATACCTACTCTATCCTTGGGCCACCTTACCCCTTTCAGATAAGAGGTGCTGTTGGCTTAAGGTATGTATGTACGTTCTGCTACTGAGAAGCAATTCAATCAATTCACTAAATTATTGCTAATCACCAAAAAAAGTAATTTAAAAACCCCTATTTTAACACAAAGAATATGTTTTTTTAAGTACTCATTTCTCATTCTCTGAGAGATTTAAACATTTTATTGAAGGAACACAAAAAAAGCCAAAAAAGCCCTAGCTGGTTTGGCTCAGTGGATAGAGCATCGGCCTGTGGACTGAAGCGTCGGGTTCAATTCCAGTCAAGGGCACATGCCAATCAATGATTCTCTCACATCATTGATGTTTCCATCTCTCTCTCTCCTCCTCTCTAAAATCAATAAAAACATATTAAAAAAAAGCCGCCCCCAAAAAAACTTTAAACACACACACACACACACACACACACACACACAAACTACACCAGTACAGATCAAGAACATCAAAATGATTCTCCATTTAAGAGCTATTTTCTACCATGTACCAGGTCTTACAAATTGCAGTCATGTTTCAGAATACACCATATCAATTTTAAGTTCTCACAAAGTATTAATAGAATATCAGTAGAAAAAATATCTACTATCCATAATGTGGATTACCACTATTTACAGGAAATATCAATGAAATAAATGCTAAAAACTCCAAACATTTCTTTTTGTTGTTATTAATCCTTACCTGAGGATATGTTTCCATTGATTTTTAGAGAGAGTGGAAGGGAGGGGGAGAGACAGAGAAACATCGATGTGAGAGAGACACATTGATTGGTTGCCTCCCGCATGCTCGGGAATCAAACGGTGAACCCCTCAGTGCGAGGGTCAATGCTCTATCCATTGAGCCAAACTGGCTAGGGCCAAACATTTCTTGATAGAAGCATTTCTACCTTGATTATCCTCAGCAACAGGATTAAACAATAAAGTTCTAAGTAAATCAAGTTAACTATTAAGCTGGTATTAAACATGATGGCTACACAGTAAAACAAAAAGCACTCTAAGAAGAAAGTCCAGAGTTATAGAATCAGAGAATAAAAACTCAGATCAGGTAAACGTTCCATTACAAGTCACCACAGATCTCAGAATCTCATATCAAAGAATATTAGAAAAATGCAGTATCATACATGACACTTGTGAAGTTTCTTATCATAAATACAAACATACCAATCATGTCCCATAAAAGCAGTATGAGCTGTGGACCACTATTGTTTGTTTAACTTTGAAATTCATCATTTTGCTAAATTCATAATGAGTTTCAATTATTGAGATTGTTGGTCTTTTATACTTGGAGCCTAGGCTGCAAACCTGGATTTAATTACACAGAGGCTGTTAAACTTGCTATATAATGACCAAAAACTTCTGGATAAATTAAATAATCAAAGTTTCCTATTATAAATTTTAAACAGCTAAAGGGAAACTTCTCTGCCATGAAATATAATTGTGCATATGCAAGTTTGTGGTTTTAAAAAATATACATTTATTTCTTAACCAAATGTCGTTTGTGTATTTCATTTTGAGGAATAACCTTTTCAAATGAGAAGATTAAAGCAAACTATATTAAGGTATCCAAGTGTAACTGAACTTAATAGGTTAAGCAGCTTGAAAATTTAATCTCAAACTGGTAACATTCAGATCACATAGTCAGAGCTAAACACCTCATGTCTAGCCGACCAAGTGCTTGGTCTCAGAGGGAAAAGTGGTTTGGAGGACGAAAACCTGCACGCATACTAATCTAGATACTTAGTTTTAACAGCAATAGTAGCTTATATATCTCACTGGAATTTACTGACTAGTTTAAACCTTCACATTAATTACTGTGGATAAAAAGATCACAGGCAAGCATCTGCAGGCACTGCTGCTCCAAGCTAAATAGCATTAATTATACCACATCTATTTCAGCAATTTGCTAACAAAATGCAACCAAAATAATATCTTCACCTGACATTATCCTCTGGCTCAGGTTCACTGTCACTGTCATCTGCTTTTCGCTTCATTCCTCCTAACGGAGATGGGGAACCATCAGAAGTGAAACTTGTATTAGGAGATACTGAAGGACTCTGCAGACAATTAGAGCATTACAGAGACAGGATTTAATTATTCACTTCACATAAGAAGTCACATCAAACTGTTACCACCATGTTTCATGATACCACTTTTTCTTTAAGTAGATATGGTAAATATATTTAGAAAATACAAACACCAATCTTTGCCTACTTCACCTCCCCCCAAACAAGTAATATAGTACCAAGCTTCTTATGCTTACACCAAAAAACAAAAAAACCCTGAACATTCTTAGGATAAAAACTGCTTCAAAATAAAAATTTAATTTTATACACTTTTAAAATTATAAGACTTGAATATTTTTTTCTTTGGTGGTCCCCTCATGCTACAAAGTTATGATCACATTCCACTGATTACATAACAAAGTTGTAAATGGAAAAAAATAAATGTATATAAATTAATAACAAATAAATAACACATTAAAAAGTCAATACTGGTGAGAATAAAGTTAAATAAAATGTTCTAACTAGTACAACCACTCTGAAAAGCAACTGTCTATAATAATAAAAGCATAATATGCAAATCGACCGAAACAGGCTAATGGCGAATGACCATCCAGACAACCTTCCGGTTGGAGTCGGGGCTGCGATGGTGGCCAAGGTTATGAAGGCCTATTCTTGCATGAATTTCGTGCATTGGGTCTCTAGTTTAATAATAAGACTCTGTCAGGTAACTGTTAAATTATTTTCTATATACTGTTTTAAAATTCAATGCACAAATAAAAATCTACTAGTCATCTTAGAAAAATGTAGATTTTATTATTTCAGAGTTAGATACCACTTTAAAGTATTATCAGTTTTATCTTCTTCTATACCTAACTCAATGAACACAGTAGCACCCTAAAGTATCTTAATGTTTAATTTAAAAATTATAATATTCTGCAACTTTACGTTGTGTTAAATGACCAAAAACATAAGTGGCAGAAAAGATTTCCATGGTAAAGGTAATCTTCTGTTATTCACAGTATACTAGATATTTCAAGTAAATTAAATTATTTTTAACATGAGAACTGAGTCTCTCTTTTTTAATTTATTGATTTTAAAGTAGAGGAAGAAAGGCAGGGGGAGAGAGAGAGGGAGAAAGGAAGAGGGAGAGTGAGGGAGAAAAAGAGGGAGGGAGAGAGGGAAAGAGAAAAGGAGAGAGAGATCAATTTGTTGTTCAACTTATTTATGCATTCATTGGTTGATTCTTGTATGTGCCCTGACCAGGAATTGAACCTGCAACCTTGGTGTATGGAAACAATGCTCCAATCAACTGAGCTACCCTGCCAGGACTAAGGACACTCAGTTAATACTATAAATAAAACCTTAGTATAAAGGCAGTTCATAAAATAGGCCAAGAAAAGTTACCACAAAGTAAAATTATATTTCATAGAGGATATAACACTTCCCTTTTTAAAATGTATAATATCAATTTTATCATGATACTATATGGCCAATACTATAAAAAAAATATACCAATAAAAATAAATCCAGGAAGGAACTGTTGTACTTGGAAAATGAGATGGGTATTTTTAGTCAGACAGATCTGAGTTTGAAATACCAAATCCAATCTTTACTGAATGTATGGCCCTGAGCAATTTATTTAACCTCTGTCAGCCTCTGCTTCAAATGGGGATGATAATGTTCTATCTCTTTACAGGTTATTGCAAGGATTAAATAAAACAATACATGTGAAAGACCAATAACATACTGCCTGCTGGCACCAAGTAGTTACCATTAATTAAGTTATCATTATTTTTTAAACCCAACACTAATCCATTTGGATCAAATTATGAGAATGATGTTCCTATCAACTGTCTAAATACAGAGTTGTTGTAAAAAGCAAACTTTCCCAAATTGACAAACAACATTTAAACTCTATCTTTAGATAAAAATAATATACCTTCAAAAAAAAAAAAAGGTGCTTGCTCTTTAATACTAAATCTCTGCTGCTCTCCTTTCTGCTCTAGCTCTCCTAGTGAAAGTATTCTTTCCTACCCCCATAGCCAGTTTGGCTCAGTGGATAGAGTGTCGGCCTGCAGACTGAAGAGTCTCAGGTTCGATTCCAGTCAAGGGCACATGCCTGGGTTGCGGGCTCCATCCCCAATAGGGGGCGTGCAAGAGGCAGCTGATCAATGATTCTCTCTCATCATTGATGTTTCTAGCTCTCTCTCCATCTCCCTTCTTCTCTGAAATCAATAAAAATATATTTTTTAAAAAAGTTTTCTTTCCTAAACATACCAGATTCATACCACCTCAAATTTCTTTTGAAAAAACTATTTTTGCAATCAAAGTTACTAAACTGAAACTGGTCACTGATATAATGAAACCACACTTCTGAATGCAACATTTAAAAACATATTTACATAATATAAATAAAGCCACGAATAAAACCATATTTATGAGGAAACAAACCTATCTAATAGAACATTAACAAAGCAGACCATCAGTAGACACCAGTCAACTGAGACTAACACGCCCAAACATTTAGAAAAAATAAAACATAATCTTAAAGGTTCCCTTTAAATAAACTTCATGATTTTAAAGAAATTTCATAACTTCACTTCATAATTTTCTTAAACTTGGAACATTCAAGATGAAAATCCCTCCATGCAAAGACTCCAAGAGAAACAATTGTGTCAAGAGGAATTAAGACAGGATCAAATAAGCAACCTAATCACCAATCTCTCTGCTCCTATTTCCATGTCAGATATTAATCACTAATGGGTCTAGTCCTGTAGAGTCTGAATATAGTTTTGGAATCCTTCTCGAAGCATCACAGCTGGCAAAGGTTAAACCTACTTGGCTGCCTGAGATTCAGAGAAAAATATTCTATCAGCAATATGGTGTTTGAGAATACTTGTCACTCGCAGTTCCTCTGAGGGGACTGTAGTCCCTATATTCTAAAATAATGGACATCAGTTTTTTCTGTTTGACTCACGTGTCTCATTGCAATCCCTTTCACTGACCCTCCATATCCCATTCTGTTAATGGTGTAAGGAATAAGACAAGAAAACAAAAACCAAACAACAAAATACACAACAGAAACCTAGGCTGCTTCTCTCAAGAGGTGCAAAATCTCAGTTCTCAAATTTCAAATGTAAGGTCCTTAAAACTTCGAGGTGTGAATTTATGGCAAGACAAATCCAATCAGTCTCCTGATATGGCAAACATTCTCCTCATAGGATTGCCCTGTAATAAGGGATTTGAGCATCAATACAGTAACTATCAGAATAATGAAATCTAAACATCCAAACTTAGGCTGTTTCCTTAGATATATCATAGCAATGATTTACATAAGATACCAAACCTTACATACTATCTTGCCTTCTCTATAACACATTCTTTCTCTCATGCCTACTAGTCCAAAATAAGCAATAACTTTATCTGCCATCTGTGAATGTTGGTTGGTAGTCTGTTTCCTCACTCCTATTGCTGCTGAGCCCATGGTCTGTTGCTACTATTACAGAGAGCTGAGTTGGAGAGTAAGAGTTTAGGCAGTAAAGAGTATCTATAGTATTCGAAAAATTGAGGAATACTATTCTCCAAAATGACCCTGACTGATCCCTGGAAGGAAAGGGGAAATAGGTAGCAAAACCCACCCATCTCTCTTGCTCCAGCTATGAGACGTTTGCATGTCCAAGTGATGCTTCCAGCACCATCACCACCTAGTACCTTGGTCCCAGTTAAATCACTGCAGCCACTTAGCTATCTATACTTTATCCATTTTCTTTCTTTCATATTATTTAGATATTTTCATATTGATAAAAATAAACTTAACATAATTAAAAATATCTTAAGATAAAAGAAATAGAAAAAACTATAAAACAACTCTAGGGTAAGTGATAAAATTTACACACAACTGCAAGGGACATGTGATAGTCACCACTCTTCAATGCCACATAAAAGTAGGTCACTTACAGAGTTATTCTGCATCCTCATTTCATAGGCTGCTTGTCTCGGATTATTGGCTACTTGAGAACCTGAATTTCTTGAACCCAAGGCATGAGGAGTCAATATTCCACCAGGAGTGAAAGCTGGTTGATCTCTCTAACATAAATGGAAATAAATGTAGAAATTAAAATTAAATGACAACACAGATGACAGGAAGAAAAGAGGGCAACAAAATAGAGTCCCCACTGTAAGCACTTAAAAAGTGAAAATGGATTTCCATTCACATCACATAGTTGTTGACACTTTGATCTGACTGAAACTTACCCTATAAATAATAGTCTGCAATATTTAACAACTCTGAAAGTACAAATAATTCACTGTCTGATATATACAGAGAATCTATCCCAGCTAATTAGGCTAATCTATTATGTTTACTTACAATTTCAGAACACATTCAAGACAAAATTCTAGGCAAATTAAGTATAACTAATAACATAAAAAACAAGTCAAGAGTTTGATTTATACTTAGAAATACAACTTTTATTTACTCTTCACTTTCCTAGAATTAATTCACTTTCCAATTAATTAGAGCTATGACTAAAGCTGTAAAAGTTAACAATCGTGGCTGACTGATACAAGAGAGATTTTTTAAATAGACATTGACTGAAAGAAAATAATTATATAGAGGGTAGAAAATAAATATGCCCCTCCCATTCTAAGTGATTTTGAACCTACTTGCAATATTAAACAACTCTACTTGTTTTCTTTTCTAAATTCCTGAAATTGCTCGATTCCAACAAAATATAATGATAAAAGGCAGTCCCTAAACTCCATGAGTTTAAAATCTAGTAAGGAAGATAAGAAAAACAAGAACTAAAAAGTTAAGCATGCAATTAAGAAAACAAATATCACTGCAAGAAGCCCCAGAGTGAAAGAACTGCTCCCCCTAGTCTATGAGCAGAAGAAATGGAGACTTTGTAGAAAAGGTAAGATGTGAAGGAGTCAGGAAGTAAAAAAATCCATTTGAAGGTACCAAATGAAGGCAATGATCTGAATCTGGAGGAACATGGTGTATTAAGAAGGCAGAAGGGAAAAAGCTGGGCAGGTAGAATTAGACCAGATCATAGTGCACTCTGCATGCCAGACGAAGATAAAACTGTATTCTGAGGAAACTAAGGAGTTACTGGTGATTTCTGAGTAGAGAAACAACCAAGTTTTGAGTGTCATGTTCTGGGAATACTAACCTGACAATGATGTAGACAAAATTTAACTTTCAAGAGGATACAAAAGGTTAACTGTTTTTATTACAAAAGCAATACCTGATTAGGATAAATGCCAACCACCCCCTCCTGCCCGTCAATTGTATCCCTTCTAATGCTTGAAAAAGGACTTCTTTACTTTCAACCCCAGCATTCTTTCTCCATGTAAGAAGGCAGCTGGGGGAACACTATGCCCCTATCCAACCTTACTGGATAAGAAATAAAAAGCTATTGTAACAAACATTTTCCTCCCAAACTGTAAGTCATGTTATTGCCAATCTTATTATATTAATTAAAACTCACCTTCATTCTCTTTCTTTTTTCTTTCTGTCGTCTTCTAAAACTGTCCTAAAAGTATAAAATCCACATATTCTGTCAAATAATTACACAAAAATGTAAGAGTTAAACATTACCAGGAATGATTTGAGAGACAATTAAAGTTTTTAAAGGAAGACCTCAGAAACCTAGGTACATAATTAAACTAGGTAATAGACTATATGTTTAAAGTGCTGCTTATCAGAACTTTAGATGGGTAGAGAGCATTCTATGTTTAGGTACAATTTAATTTTCCTCCTAATTTTTTTCAGATGGCTTTTATATCATTCCAGGAAAGAATGAAAGACTCATGACAAAAACTACTGGCTCTACCCTGGAGCGAACAGGCTACCAATGTGGAGAAGATACAAATAGAAAAACAAAGAATTCTTAAGCTGTAGTTGAAGTCAGTTAATAATCAAGATGTCAGTTTAAAAATATTGAGAAGACAATTTAATAGCGAGCCTCTGTTACCTAAAAAGGGCTTGACAATTTCTTACTCTGTAACATATATGACACAGTGGGTAAAGAGAGAAGTGGGCTCTATGCAAACACCACTCCCACCCCCGGACTCTAAAAAGTCAATTTAATTAAAGGAAGGACATTCAGATGTTCACACTGCTTATTCTGGGCCAATTTTAACTCATAGGAAAGGGTCCAGACTGCATCACCAAGTTTTCAAAATGTAGCCGTGGTTTCAACTGCATAGGGTTTGGGGTTGATGTTGCTTCCCCACTAACTGTTCAGACTATTCAAAGGCCTCCTTTACCTCTCATGCCCCAAATTCTGTGATTATCAAGGCACTGAAATGACAGCTAAGGTGGCTGTGGCTGCAGCTAATGGCCTAAAACGGGCCAGCTAGTACAGTACTGGCTGTCATCCTATAGCTTCACTTCAATCCTTTCCAGGTCAGTACTGCCAACTCTGATGTGTTAACAAAACGTGAAATTTGTGCTTTCAGCCAGGAGAGGGGTTGAATGTTGAATTCATAGTGAATGACTACCTTATAACCTCCTAAAATATAAAAACCACCAATTTATTTAATCAAGCTTTTGCCCCCACCTGCAATGAAACTTCTCTTATCTAAGTCACCAATGACTGATAGACTGTGAAATCCATTATTCAGTTTTCAGTCCTTGTCTGACCATGACTCTTTCCTTCTTAGATTTATGGCTTTAAACACCATCTAAATACTTAAGACTTCCCAAGCAGGATCTCTTTCCTCTCACCACCCCGATTCACTTTCCAGGCTTCCTCATCAGTTGCTCAGACCATTTTTCAATTGCTCAGACAAAATGCCTAGGACTCATTCTCGATAGCTTTCTTTTTCTCACACCTAGCATTTAACTCATTAGCCAATCCCATTGGTTCTATCTTCAAAATATGCAGAATCCAACTAGCTCTTGTCACCTCCACTATAACTATACTAGCTCCCTTGGACCTGACTTCCTGCTTCTATCTTTGCCTCCATACAATGAGTCTCAATATAACACCTAGTGGCCCTTCGATAATCTTGTCACTTTTATACTCAAACCCCTCCAGAGTGAAAGCTAACGTCCTCATCACGACCTGTAGGGTCCTGCCAGATCTGGCCTGCCATCATCTTTCTGATCTCTTCTCTGCTCCTGCCACACTGGCTCCTTGCAGTTTTGTGAATATCTGAGTATGCTTCTGCCGAGCCTTTCCACTGGCTATTCCCTCCATCTGAAATGCTCTTCCTGCAAATGTCTGCATGGTTTACTCCCTCCCATCCTTCAGGTCTTTATTCAAAGTCATCTGTGGGCATGGCACTCTCTAACCACCTTTTCTAGAATTGCAAACTACTTATCACCACCTTCCCAGCTATTTCCTCACCTGCTTTAATTTTCTTCATGGCACTTATCCCTAACACATTACACAATTTACTTAAGCTTATGTGCTTATCATTCATCTCCCCCAGAAGAATGTCAGCACTGCAGGGTTAGGAATTTTTGTGTTTTTTGTTTGATGTATCAGTTAACACTTGAATACTATCAGGCACATGGTAACACTTAATAAATATTTGCTGAATAAAGAGACAATATTTGTAAGGTTAAAAGGTTAAAAGGCAAACCTCAAAGCTCATAAAACAAAAAGCATCACATTTACCTAATTGCTCAATTTAAATAATAAATATTGATGCATGTCTCTTCTACTATCTGTTCTGCTAGTCAGTTAAATACCTATTTCTAAGAGTGGTAGTCACACCTATGCACAATAGGTCCATCTGGGTGCTATCAACTCCTTTGGAAATCTGTCAAAAGTGGACACACTTTCCAAAAAAATACATAGCACCATATACTTTTAAATGGAATTTCTGAGAGTTCATAAATTCTGCCCTCCCACCCCCTCATGCCCAACCATACTGATGGATATCATATGATGTCAATGACACCAAAAAGACCCAAAGTTTTAAAATGTCCTCTTTGTCAGGCTGCTGAAAACCATTATTACCTAAATCTGAAGCACTCTGGTATCTATCAAATCCCATACAACCTGCCCTAATGCTAAATATCAACAATATTTAACAGTGTAAAGTCTGCTAAAGCCACATAAAAAGACTGTTGTAACATGAGGCTTTTACACCAAGCAGTACACACCACATATAGTTTTTTCTTAAAACATAAATGGCAGTAGGTCAAGTGGAGCCACTATAATTGTTGAAGACTTATTTAACAATGGCTGTCCTGGTAGACATTTGGTATCCTAGACAAAGTTAGTTCTGTCATTTGAATTTTACATATGAAAATTTCTTGCCATCACAGAAAATTACCAAATACCAAAAGCTTTGGATTGCTTACAATCCACTCACTCTTTTACTTAAAATGGTACTCCAAATTCTAAAATAAGAGATCACTAGCTACAGTATACAAACTTGAAGAAAATATGAAATCTTGTCAGATACAACGACATGTTGTAATGTTAGGAGATCATGAAGCAATATAGCAATATTATGTTGCTATTTGCTCAAAATAGCCATATGACTTTTTATAAAATCAGTTTCCAAAAGGATTTCCTTCACTCTTATCTGCTACTATTATCCGCTCATTTTACCCACTGCTTGCCTCCCTTGCCACTCCCCCACAACCCACTCAGCCTCCAAGCTGCTGCCCCTCTCCCACACTCACTCCCCAGGGCCTCTGAACCCCTGGCTGCAGACTAGGGGCCTGTGCATATCTATCTCCTCTCTTCAGGTATTTCCTCCTATCTCTCTAGAACTGGCTCCTCTTTCTCCTTATATGCCCACACGTCTCGAGGTTTCTGTTGGAGGCACTTTCACTCCATACAAGCTCCCAGGGATTTCAAGTTCACACTCATGACTTGAAGTACCTCCTAGTCGCTAATGGTTCTCAAATCTCCTTTAAAAAAAACTTCTACTCTGAGCTTTACACATATCAATCAAATTGCTTTCTGGGCTTTTCTCCTTTCAGGTGTCCTGAATGCTTGAGGTATCACTCAAACTCAGTATCTCCAAAATGAAATTTCATTTCTACCTTGTCACCACCCTAACCTGCTCTACCCTCAGTACTTACTATGTCAGTAAATGGCACCAGCAAACTCAACTGTCCAGGTCAAAAACCCAAACTTCTCACCTAAGCCCTTCACACTATCAGATGTAATCAATTCCTAAGAGCTTTGTTTCCCACTTTTAAAAAAATCTTTATTGTTGAAAGTATTACATATGTGCCCTTATTTCCCCCACTGACCTCTTCTAGCCTGCCTCCACACACCCCTACCTTGGCCCCAGGCCTTCATCACCCTATGGTCTGTGTCAATGGGTTATGCATACAAGTTCTTTGGTTGATCTCTTCCCACCCACCCATCCACCCTCCCCCACCTTATTTCTCTCTTTTAAGTTTAAATTTCTTACTCAAAGCTGCAACCCTCTGCCTTGGCTGATGCAATCCAAATCACACCCCCTACATTCTACTACCAGAGTACAAAGTTCCTAGCTCTTAACCTATCTTCCAGAGCATAAATATTTCCTATAAACATGGCAGCTCAATCCCAGCATTCTTGTAGCCTTAGAACCCTCATTTAATATCCTATTGATTAGACAGGTGTTTAGATTTATATCTTAAGAATATGAAGAGAAAAAAAATTACAATGCAACTCACAGTGTACAATATATATAATTCCACAAAGCAAGCATCAAAACCTTTATAAAATAATGAAAGCACTACCACTCATGATTACACTGATGTTCTATACACTATAACGATATAACAACGCACTCAAAGAGGTTAAAAGTACAATCACAGGATCATCACAGCCTATTAGAGACAGGAGCAATTTAGCTACTGCAATAGAAACACTTTACCTCATCATCCTTTCTCTTTTTAAAAATGCTATCCTCAACTTCACCAACTGCTAACATGATCATCTGTACTCTTTGCAGATTGACATAACCACTTTCTGTTAGGTAACCCTGTAAGTAATAAAATACATGTAAAAATGACCTTCTTATAAAAGCAAATACTTCTGTTTTCAAATTATTCAAGAGTAAACTTACCCCAGTTTTGTGTACCACATTTTTGTATATGTTGACCAAACGATCAATTGCACCTTCCCTGCCACCAGGAAACAAATATTATACATTAGGACTAGTATGCACTGTAAAGTCAAGGAGGCTAAAGAAAGTCTTAAAACCCACAAAAACACACATACCTAATTTCTAACGATGGCAGATGAGGAAGAAAGTCATTTCCCACAAAGAAGCACATGAAGACCCAGTCATCAATGCTCCTCTCAACATCAAATGTGAATGGAAGGCTGGCCATGGTGAGCTCTCTTTCCAAATACTACAACCAAAAAGGAACATTGGCATGAAAGCTATTAAATGCACACTTGTCTTAGAATAACAATTCCAATGATTATGACTACATACCTCACGAAGAACATTAAGACGAAGGAAGATAAACTCTCCCTCTGCGCAAGGAAGACTATCTGCAAGTTCATCGTGCTACAAGAAAGGGACAAGGATTAAACATGTCCACTCTAAACCCTGTAAATTTTCAGTCAAATAAATATGGCTTTTTTTTAAAAGCAGATCCATTTTAACCCTTTGCACTCCGAACCATTCTGGACATTGGCTACCAGCTACTCGACGCTACTTTGCGGCGGAAACGTGCATTTACAGACCCTCATATTATTTAGTATAATTTTGGAACCAAGTAACGTATTATAATGATATTGGACTTATATGAATTGGGTGACATCGAGGAATGTATATTTGCAAAAAAAACAATATTTTATTGTTTATAATTTTGTACAGTATGATAAGTTTTGTAACACTCCCCAATATGCATTGCAGGCTGATTAGTGCATGTTTGACAGTAATAAGTGGTTTGACGCCTGCCACCAGGTGTTTTCCTGTTAGAATACACAATGCAGTCCCGTTTTCTTTGTCCCACATCGGGAATATGTAGTTTATTGTTTAATCCGACACAAAACCCGCTGACATTTCTTGTATATATCTTAGTAATTTTACGATATTTTGATTTAATTTCTTGTGCCATTTCAAGATAAACTTCAGGGAAACATGCATATCTCAAAAAGTTGCGTTGAAATAACTCAATTCCCCGTAATCACTAATAAACTGCAATGTCCCCTGAGAGGGGACATCCGAGTGATATGCTAGAATTCCGATGTCCCCTGAGAGGGGACAGCGGAGTGCAAAGGGTTAATACTCTATTTTTTTTAAATTAAAAAAAGAATTCACCATAACATCCTATCTAATAATAGAGAAACATGGTAATTAGCCGTACCTCCACTACCCTTCCCATTGGCTAATCAGGGCGACATGCAAATTAACTGCCAA